TATTTGTTGTTGATCAAAAACAGCATCTCTTTTCTTTGGTACAAGGTAAGATCGTCTAAAGAGTGCATCTGAAAAACCTTATTATTTTCCTGATCTATAAGTGATCTTGAATTCGAATCTTGATAGGAACATACTCTCACAAGCTTGGCGACGATTCAAAACACATATTGACATAAAATATATAAGGTTCTTATGATCCGTATATATTGTGACTAGGCTAGAAGCACCTTCTAGATAATGGTGCCATTCTTGAAACGAATCCATGATTGCAAGAAGTTCTTTGTCGAGGATCTCGTAGTTCATCTCGGTTGCTAAAAATTTTTTAGAATGAAAAGCTATTAGGTGAAGTTTATTATCTATTCCCATTTGTGACAATATGGCATCTAAAGCAAAGTTTAATGCATCCATTTCCATAAAAAATGGCTTAGAAAAATTGACGTGATACAACATTGGTGCAGAAACAAAGGCTATCTTCAAAGCTTCAAATGCTACTTCTGCTTCTTGATTCCATTGAAGTTTGTCTTTGCAAGTCAAACGTGTAAGTGGAGCTGCAACTTGAGAGAAGTCTTTGATGAAGATCTGATAGTAGTTGGCAAATCCCAAAAACTATTGAACATCTCTTACAGTTTTTGGGATCTTCCAATGCATAAAAGTTTGAACTTTCTTAGGATTCATCATAAGTCCATCATTTGAAATGATATATCCTAAGAAGTCGACTTGAGTAGTGTGAAATACATACTTTTGCTATCTTAATATAGAGTCCTGCATCTCTTAGTTTTTGTAATACCTTGCAAACATGAAGTTCATGTTCTTTTGAGTTCTTAGAATAGATTAAGATGTGGTCTAAGTAATAGATAATAAAATCATCTAAAAACTCCCAAAAGACATCATTCACTAGATATTGGAATGCTGTTGATGCATTTTTAAGTCCAAAAGGCATGACGTTGTATTCAAAATGTCCATACGTTGTTCAAAACGCAGTCTTCCATTCATCTTCTTCTTTGATGCATACCAAATTGTTTGCTCTCCATAGATCTATTTTTGTATAGATCTTAACTTAATTCAACTGATGAAGAAGTCTAGATATCAAAGGTAGTAGGTACTTATTTTTTATAGTGATTTTATTGAGTCCTCGATAATCAACAGACATCCACAATGATCCATCTTTTTTCTTCAAAAATAAAATTGGAGCTCTTGTTGGAAATTTGGAATGGCATATGAAGTTCTTGGCCATATTTTCTTCAATATACTCGTTGAGTTCAGCCAACTCATTTTGAAATAAATTGTAGATTGGTCCAAATGGTGGTTGTATTCTTTCTTGAAGGTCAATTGAGTAGTCATAGGAACGATGTTCTGGAAGAGTATCTGCATTTTTTTTCTCAAATACATCTTGAAAATCTTGACATTGGCTTGGAATGCTACTTGAAGTTTTTCCACTAATAGAAACAGGTGTGGCATAAATGACACAAGGTGATCCTTCTTTTGCAATAGGGAAGAAAGCACTTGCACCTACAAATATAGGTTTAATTATACTAGACTTATGACTTTCTACTTGATTAACAACACTCTTAGTTATACTTTTAAAAAAGTCAAGACTACGAGAAGTCCAATCTATTTTATGGTTATATTTTTTTAGTCATGATAAACCTAAAATGACTGGATTAGAAAGAGATCTAATGATATTAAATATTACAAAGCTACTATGACCATTAGTTGCTATTTCTATAGGAAGGGTTTGATGAGTTATATTTCTTGAAGACAACGGATGACCATCTATGACTTCTACATGAATAGGTTTAGTTTTCTTTACTAAAAATATGCTATGTCTTTTAGCAAATTTTTCATCTAAGAAACATGTTGAGGCTCCTGAATCTAGGAAGGTAAAGGCTTTGAGATGTTTAGGTCCTAAAATAATATTTATCGTAAAACATGGAGAGGGTTCTAAGGAGAGGATAGGACCTTCACTAGGCGTTATACAAGGTTCCAACCGCACCGTCCCTATTATAGCTGAACAAATTCATTTTTTGACATACTATCTCCTTAGATCACCATACTCCTTATTTTATGGTTGCATCGCTTCTTTGAGAAATGTTAAGCAATGTGTTTAGGTTCTCCACAATATAAGCACAAACCTTCTTGTCGACAACGAGTCTTTTCTTGCTCAATAAGAGGTTTGAAACGTACTGCATCAATTTACATATCCTCTACTTCCGAATGTATGTGTTGAAGAGGTGTTGGTGTTGCTATTGAATTATAGTAACGTTCAGGTCCACTTGTATGGTTCTCAGATCGAAATTCAAAAAGGCGATTGTCACACTTCATAGCAAAGCCAATTGCTTGACTCAGTGTTTGAGGGTCAAGTAAGTTGAACATTAATTTTTTTACCTCATATTGTAATCCGTAGAGAAATTGGCTAATAAGTGCAGCATCATCCCACTTGATATCAGTTGCAAGTTGTCAAAATTGTTACTGATTGATTGCCTTGTTGTAAAATACAGATCTTATTGGTTGTAACACGAATTGCATCATATTCTCCATACATGGATCAAAACTCCGCCAAAAAAGTCTTTAGATTATCCAATATTGGATCTCGTCATTCAAGAAAAGATAAAAACCATGATAATGCTGAACCTGAAAGAAGCGTACTAATGAATCTAACTTGCGATCCTGGAGTTGGATAGCTTTGAGATTGAAGTTCAATCACAAGTTGTACTTGATTGATAAATCTTCTAAACTTTGATCTAGTGCCATCAAACTTCTCGAGTAGAGCAATTCTTGGTTTTCTAACACTAGACGGGCGTTCCACCATAGGAGAAGGGACATCATTTGGTGCAGATGTTGAAGCAGCTCCAATCATTTCTATATCTTCACTTCCTACCAATCTTGTTGCTCCATGTGGTGGTAAATTGAATTGATGCATCGCAAGCATTAATTCCCTCAATTACTCTTGCATTTGTGCCATTGCACTCTTCATTTCAGGAAGTTCTGCCATGATAACACTTAGAAAAGAAAAGATGTCTAATATTTCTCAAGACAAATACAAGAGAGGACTTGAGAACAAAGAAAATACTAAGGATAATATGAGTTTAAAAGAGGGTAATCCACAACTTCTAATATGCTTATGTCTTATCAAGAAAAAGGAGTAATCCACTCCTAATCAAGATTAGACAAAGCTTTGATATTGTAAGTGTACTCTTGTCAATTTGTCAAGGATAAGAATATAATAAAGACAAATAAACAAGTGAGACTTCTTTCAAAGAAAGATGACAAAATAAAAATAACTTAATATGTATATTAAGAAAGAAACTAGAATGGCTATTGCCAAAAGCCAAGAAAACTAAAGACCCTCGAAACTAGATTGGAAGTAAGAAAGGAGATAACAAGAGTAAAGAAGGCTTCATTCTTGTCTCTATATATACTATCTAATTAGGGGTTACATGGCGACGTTCTATACGACCTCCAATATGTGTTGACTCTGTAGGACACATGTCTTGACCTACAAGACAAGTTTTTCTACGTGTGGGCCACATTGTTAGCTTGGTCTTCAAGCTAACAACATGTGTGGTACATGGCCAACTTATTGACCACGTTTCTAATCCCAAAAAGCCAATTAAAGATACCTATAAAGTCAAAGCAACATCTATGAAGCTTCTAGGAAGCTTTTATACGAAATACTATAGAATTGACTTACTTTTATCTATTTTTACTTACTTCTACATGTTTATACATGTAATTACTGGCTTACATGCATATGTCTGTGACACATGGTGGATCTCCATGAAGTATTCTATATCATCTAAACTCAAAGGAAGAAGAGTGGTAGAACCATCATGTGTGTCATTTTTGCCCCTAAAGCTCTCTTCTTCTCCTAGTGCAACGTCCTTAGAGCCTGTCATTCCACCCATATTGTTTATCATTCAAGCCATCTTAGATTCACTTTGTAGTACATTTAAAAAAATATTTGTGTAAAAAAAAATTATTAATCTATTTGACTATTCAAAATCTTAAAAATGAATTAGTGCATGAACATGTAAAAGTATAATTGATAAAAACTAGACAATAGCATTAATCCTAAAATTTTCTATTAAAGAGTATAAGATAATTGTTTTTACTTTAAAAACATTAATTATTTTATTAGGTCTATAATTATCTTCAAAATATAATCACCCAATTCTCAATTTTAAAGTAGAAACAAAAATGCTTAAATATTTTTCAATGTAAAAAAAGTCTATATACAAATTATTTAGAAAAATTTGCATAGAACTTATATTTTATTTATATTAGAATGTATCCAAATATTTATATTAAATTAGAGAAATTCACCACATAACAAGTTATTAAGATCACAATATATTTTAACAAGTAGTGCAAAAAAATAGAAACAAACTAAAACAAAATCAACAAAAATCCTATTATATTATTAGTTGATGCTTAATTTTAGCAATTTATGTTCATTGTACATTGCTTAAATGATAAAACCAACTAACAATTCATTTATTAGGAAAAAATAAAAAGAGCAATGCAAACTAATCATACAACATTGAATGCCAAGACAATTGACAATATTTAAACTTAATATTAGAGATTCTATTTAGAAGTAATAAAATTCAAAAAATTGAGAATTTGAATCCAATACCATGGCCACTTGAAGATAATTCGATAGCTTGACATTGCCAAATTGGTGACTTCATAAGAACCAAAGAGAATAGTCAAAAAATAGGTGGACAAATTTGTTAGAATTGCCAAGCCTCAAGGCTCTGTGTTCCTCAACACAACTTAGTCCCAAAAAAAGGAGTATTCCAATGCATTTTCATCCATGCTCTTGAATTTGCATTCTCAAGAGAATGCAGAAATGAAAACTTCATCATAATTGTGGGAATCTCAAAAGTTTATTCTCCACCCCATCCTCCCCTACTACCTCTGTTGAGGGAACAATATTTGAGGAATTTATGTGCTTAGTCAAGTTCCTCTTAAAATCATGAAATTAGAAACAGGACATGGCCAGTTATACAATTCATATTGATGTGGAACGTTGTACCCAGAGGGCAAAACATAAGAAGAGGAGCAGGTGATTTTGACATAAAAAATCAGTTCAAATTGAAGGCACAGATTGAATTTAAATTGTGGCCAGGTTCTCGAACTGTTGACAGAACCACCACGGCCTGGTGCTGCCCTGCGGCTACCCACTTGCAACATGGAGCAGGCGGCTAGCTATATACAAGACGACCTTTGCTCAATAACCTCCCAGTATATGCTTAGAACCCCTTGGTGTGATGAGTACCAGCCAGGGAAGACGTCTCCGCGAACGAAAATGGAAATCTACGAACATGTACATGATCCAAAACAGTAGAAAAAGATGAGGCTTCTTCATTGTCGTGGACAAACTATCCAAACAACTATCATCCATGATTCTTACAAGAATCAGCCAAGGGGTTCAAGATTACCCTAAATATGTTAAGGAGGTTACAATCCACACGGCAGGGCAAAGCAGTTCTTATAGCAGTCGCTGCAACTCCACCTGACGGTATCGTTTCTTGCGGGCTTCTCTTTTATCCTTCGCAGTAAATCTTGGGGTGTCTATCCATCTGCAGCAAACCAAAATCTGGATGAGAACAATAACTTAAGTCACTTGTCAAACAACACCCGACTGCCAAATTGAATGAGCTCCAATCGTCAGTTCAGTGTGCAGTTTCAATTAAATTCAGTTCTGTGGGCATCGCCAAGTCATACGTCTTGGCATCTGGTACAAATGGCTGCAGATGAAAAGAAATATTTGTCGCCGCATGAATTTTTATACGAGGTAAAGTTAATTACAGCCAATGGAAATGAGTGCAACATATCACTACAGTCAGGAATCACCTAAAAAAATTGCAACTTTCTTCAGCCACTTCTGCAAGAGGTTTCTGCTTCTTTGGGAAGAGTTTTCTGAAGTTGCTGCAACTCCAATAACGGAGACTTTGATTTGGATCACCACTTCGAAGAACAGTTTCCAGGATTGCGTGACGTGGAGCAATTTTACAAAAACAATATGGAACGAGAATTTCTGATTGCAGACCTCCTGGAAAAATTGAATTGCGACAAAACATAAATATCTCTTGGAATCTTTAAGAAAGAGTGGTTAATGCTTAGGTGATATTTTATGATTCCGATAACATCTTCATGGTTCAAGAACCAGACCATTGGTCAGATGTGAAACATGCGTATCATCAACCAACCTAAACGACTCTATTACATCCATTAATCTGAAGATAGCGGTAAGAGGAAAGAGAATACAGACCTACGGGAGCACTAGAAAAGCCGTTTCCATTCACAGGTCTTCCACATTCATCCGGTCCACTGGAACCTCCTCGTTCACGCTTGCTATTCTCTCTCTCTGTGTTACTAGCCGACCTCTGAAGCTGTAAAACCCTGTCCTCCCCATGTCTTTCTGTCAATGCATTGCCTTCCACAGATGTGCTGCAAATAAGCATGGAACTAGGCTCGCCATTAGCCTTTTCCACAATACTGGCCTGAAACAAACATTCCCAAGAATTGAAGTCTCCAGTCTATTCTGATAAAATGTGAGAGAGTTCTTAAGTACATGGAGATAACAGAGTGAAGCTGTGGCAGCACCACAGACCAGAACAATTTTACAAACAAATAAATTCTCTCTCTCCCTCTCTCTCTCTCGCTCTCTCCACTTCCTCGTATAAATAGTACGAGAAAGAAAAAGTAGAATAAAATGAGGAGGGGGAGGGACGGGAGGGAGGGAGAGAGAGAATAACACTGTGTAAAATAGTCTTCAGAAGAGCCTGATAGACCAGTTGATCAAGGAATAAGAAGTGGACACTTCTTCTGTCAAGCTCTTTCAACCAAGTTACTAAAATATCACCAGAATTTATGTCCAACAAGCAAACACGCCTCATTTCTGTCTTTTTCAGGAGAACCCAGATGAAAATAAACGCACTCATTGCATACGTTTGTACAGACCTCCATAGACAATCGTATAATCAAGCACGAGATCATGATGAATCCAACATCTGGGGCGTGAAAGGAAAACGACACTTGAGATGAGAAAGTAGCTGTCAATGATTAGAACCGTCTTTGGACAAGATTATGACATTCTTCAAAAATAATACTAGATGAGATTTATCCCTCATTATTTATCTCACCGATTCAAACTCTGAAGTCCGGTCTACTCCACCAGCGGCACCAACCTTGTGGCCATCAATTACAGCAAACTGATATCCGACAGGCTTCTTACTATCCTTCCTTGGTCTGCCCCGTTTTCTCTTCTGGGAAACATTCTCTCCTCCTGCAGCTGCTTGCTGATTGACAGGACCTCCAACTAGATGGTAACCACCTGCTGGAACTGAAGCCGCATCACCCATTGTCGTACTCCCAAGATTAGCCTGTCGTGCGTGTGCAGCACCATTAGTTACATGAGCATCATGGTCTTTTCCTTTCTCTTCTGTGATAATGGAAGATTCGTCGACTTCCCCTCTTGCAGGTCTTGGACGTGCACTATGTGTACCTTGTGAGGTATCAGCAGACTGCAAAGGTCGCAATTCACTCCCATAAGAGTTTGATAGAAGAGGTACCCTACCTGTAGACTTCTCATTCCTCCAATCTAAAGGCACATCAACCCACTGGATTTCTGCTTGGTGTTTGGTGTGTCCTTTACTTTCTCCACTTGAACCACCCTTCTGTGACGGAAGCACTGATCGTGACCTTTTGCTCGTTACAGTTGGAGCGCCAATGGAACCAATAGATCTGGTCTTTTTACCAGAAGCAAGCCTCCAAACAGAATTTAAAAACCCAGCATTTTCGCTAACAGCTGCGGCTCCAGCGTTGTCCGTTAGACCTGGAGATCTGAAGACACCGTCTTCATCAAAAGGTGCATGGGCAAGCTTCTTTTCAGGCTCATGAGTACTCACTTGGCCCACTATACCATCAAGGCAACCTTCAGCTATTAAATTGCTTCCACTAATAGCAGGTTCCTCAATCACCCTCTCAATCCCTTTAACATTTTCCTGAAAATCGTTTATCTCATGCTTGTCATCAGATAACACAACGTCCCTTTCACTAGTCGCTGCAACATCGCTCAAGGCACTAGGTGGCTCAGATCTTTCGTTGGAAATATTGGTGCCACACCTCCACACATGGTCCGACTCGAATGAACCATCCTTGCTCACTACGGCAACACTTCCAACCAGTGAATTGTCCTCGCACATGACATCCGTCGCCATTGCCACCCCAACAGGATTTATCCTCATACAGTCTTCAATAACTATCTCCTCATTTAGTGGAAACTGCTCCAAAGGTATTGTTGAGTCAGTCTTGTCAGGTACAGTGTGGTCACCCTTTTCAACGCTTGTGGAAACTTTTATGATTGCACTCTCCCTCATGAGAGACTCTTCACCGCCAGCTTCAACTTGAGTTCCAATTCGAGCAACTAGCATCTGAAGAGAAACAACGTAATTTCTTTGTTGATCTTTAACAACTCAAAAATCAAGAAAATCCCCGTTAATTCCTGTGATGCAACTCCCATGAAATCTTCGCACATGACTATTCATGAGTACAACCCACACGGGTCAAGGAACACAACTCTTGGAGTTCTTCGAAGTCTTGCAGAAGGTAAGAGAGAAATCGAAAGAGGCAATCCAGATGTTACTTCTGGATTTCTTGAATGCAGATTGATATACGGCAAGAACTATGTGCCGTCTACAAGAAGTCAAATATTGACGAGATACTTATTTTGACTCGAAGAAGCCTAAATTATTCAGAGTGAACACTTTTAGACCGGCATTTCATCTAGTAAACAATAGACTGATAAAAAAACACACGCCCCTAAAACAGATTAGGACTTACACTTGAATGAGACTTCTCGCCTGTGTTTTGATCATCGATCACCACAGAAGTCTGCTGTTCTTGAAGGACCCCGGCGTCCTGCTCATAAAATGTCTCAACAAAAAGGTCACTGCCCCCTTCATTTGGAGATGTACAGCAATCAAGCACTTTGGGGTCGTCCTTGGTAGCTTGGGATGATGGAGAGCTTGACTTCAAATTATTCATAGCTTGACCCAGCCCTCTCACACTCAACCCTTGTAAGCTTTGTGAGATCTCGGCTTTTTGCACAGATGGCTCAGAGACGCCTGGTGCTGACTGCAGCAAACCATTGTCTAGGGTATATTTGATTGAGCTCTCGACTTTCTGTTCAACTTCAACTGCATTTTGAGGCATTGTAGTGTCTTTACATGTTGAATGGGGCGGAATAATATCTGAACACAACCTCGGTGGCCAACACATCCCTTCTCCAAAGGGAGGTGTTAGGCCATGAATTTCTGGTGTAGCCTCTTGATTCTGGTGAGTCGACTTTGAGTAAACCTGATCAGACACGTCATCCCTGCTATATACAGGTGAATCAGAATTCCCTTTTATTACTGTATTAGAGTTGAGCGAGTTCTGAGTTGCTGGGATTGAAGTTACTTCTACCGTCTTGTCAGCCTTGATGCACGCTTCGTATCGGGTATCCGCAGGGTTCTCATTCAAAACGTCACTCAGCTCCTGATTATCAGTGCGCAATCCAATCCCTTCTGCTTGAACTGCATTCGCAAGTGAAGTACTCGTAGCCTCCACAGCATTGACAGTCTTTTGATCCTTATAAGAGGGAGGAGAATCTGATTCCTTTACTGCTGCTGCATTTAGGTTGTTCTCGGAGGATATTTGTTTACAAATGCCTCCAGAAAACTTAGACCTACTCAATTCGGCTGCCTCAGAAACACCCACTTCAGCTAATTGTGATATCTTCTTAGGTGATTGTTCTCTAGTTATTATAGCTTCGTTCACTAGTTCTGTCCTCTTCATTCCGTCCACTTTTATTTCATGTTTCTCACCTTCATTTGTTTCTCCACTTCTTTCGTCCCTGCACATCTCTCTCTCCTGCTGCTGCGATATTACTTCTCGATCCTCTTCCTTTCTCCACGGTATTTCTAATGACCATGGATCATCAGGATCATTAAAATCTTCAACAGGAAGCTTTGCTTTATACCGTACAGTAGGGAACGCACTCGCTAGTAGAGGAGCCTCAACCATTGAGTTCTGATCACAAGTAAAAGACATCATTGCATAAGATATTCGAAGCAAGACACTCCAGTACATAATAAAAAGTTAGGATCCCACACATATACAACTGCACAACAAATAAAAAGTATGTAGTTACTTACAGTTATAGCGCCTAAGCTATTGTTTGTGACAGAGATTCGTTTTGGTGCATCTGTCTCCAGCACAACAGAATCCTCTGAAACAACCCATGATAACTTTCTCTTCTTTGTTGGAGACTTGGAGTGTCCTATTTCCTCATGATCCGTAGCAACACTTTGAGGCGTGCTCTTTCCAAGTGATTGCTTTGAGGTTGATAAGCTGGATTCCTTATCCAGAGGGATTGTTGTTCCCTTCTTGGTCGTCTTCTTGCCAGGTAGCAAAGGCTCCACAATGCCATAAACTTCCGAGAGCGGAAGTTTCCTCTGCTGCCGCCGCGTTTGTGACTTGGTTTTCTTCTCAGTTTCTACAGGGGAAGCCACTTCTACAGCATTGTTAACTCGAGATTTACTCCCACCTAGTTGCAATTTATCACTGGTGTTAGCATACATGCGCTTCAACTTCTGTTCTGAAAAGCTACCAGATTTATTTTTCTTGTAGTAGCTTTTGAAGCGACTGTCCGGCTCTTCCTTGAGGTCAATTCCAACACTTTCAATATCGGTCGCAGGCTGTGCTGAACTAAGAGGATCAAAGGTTTTCTGATCTGACACTCCAAGCTGGCCTGTTGACCTTCTGAAATAGTGCAAGGGCTTCTTCTCAGAGGAGCTAAATCCAATGTTCCTTACACTACCACCGATTGAATATCGACTACTAAGTCCACTTTCTCCTCGGACACTACGCCTCTTACGCCACGAACCTCCCTTCTCAAAGAGCTGCCATTCTGGCCCAATATAACTATCCGTCCAATCACTTGTACGTTTCCCTAAAGCACTTGCTGGCGTACTGGTAGGCGTGTTGACTACAGAAGTATCTAAGCTAGATCCCTGCGGAAGCTCTGGAGCTCCTTTTGTCGATGCAGAACGCGTCAAAGTGCCCGCAGAAGTGCGCCGTTCTGCAACTTGTACGTTGTCCTTTCCAGATTTCTCAACAGTTGCCTTTTCTAGCTGCTTTCGTGTTGACTTCACTTTCAAAATAGATGTAGATTCAGGTACTTCCGGTGTAAGCGAGTTATCATCAGTATTTCTTGAACTTGGGATATCAGAAGGTGGGATTTCTCCTCTATCAACTGAAGACACGGTGCGAGCTCCAGAACGCGACTCCGGATAACTTTTCTTAGCAGAAGACCGTGTAGAGTAATGAACATTTAATTCTTCCAACTGAGCCTTCTCTTTCTCTTGATTCTTTTTATCCTCTTTGGAGGTGTGTCTTGGAGTGTCCAGCCACCTGCATAAAGCAAATCGAAGTTTACAATCAACATGTATTAGTAAAATATTTGCAAATTTATAAATATAAATCAAAAAATCAAAAAATTATAGCAAATATCGGGATACGTGACCAATTTCGAGACGATCAGCTAAATGAACCAAGTAGCAAAGTTCGACAGACAAAATATTACCTGAAGAACTTGCACTTCCCAATTGTATCAGATTCCTTCCTCTTGCCCTTTCTCTTAAAAAAAGAAGGCTCTTGACGAGAGCACATCAGGTACCGCAAACCTCTGTTAGGACTCTTCTCACCAACTATTCTCACAACAGCAACAATCCCACAATCGCAAAGGACTCCATCTTTGTTTCCTTCTCCCGTACCTGATCCAAGCCAGAAAGAGCCGATGTGTACAAAAGGCAAAAACAATATTACAACAAGCCACTAAAACTAGGAAACCGACTGAATTACTCAATCGGAATGTCTTGAAACTTCAACAAAAATGTATTTAGAGGGACAACTATAGAAAATTTGTTCACACGAAAAAAGATAAAGAAGGCACACCTTGCATACTAGCTGGCTTCATTTGATCAACTCCATTGGGAGCTTTAGCAGTTGCAGCTGCCTCCGCAAGTCCAACTGTCAATCCCTGAGCAACTTCTTCGGCGACACCTTCAGCTATACCTTGTGCTACCGCTTTAGCGATAGCAATCCTTTCAAACCTACCACTATCAAACAGTCGGCCCTCCGTTGAATCTTGTTCAAACGTACTTGTTTCTTTGGCAATGCTTTCCGCAATACTTTCTGCTATACCTTCGGCCACTCCAGCAGCGACTTCTGCAGCTACAGCCTCAGTTATGCTACTAGATGAAGTCCTGTACCTATCAACATCTATTCGAGACTCTTGAATCAGCATCAAGTTCTCCAGCCTATTCATCGTATCATTACGATTCCTTATCGTTTCTGTTTTCTGAGACAACACTATAGACCTAAGCAAAGGTTCCTCAGGTTCTTCAACGTTAGCAGATTGTAATGAGCCCTTCGGACTAATGTTCACACTGCCGTTCATATTGCTCACCGATCTGTTCGATAATTCAGCAGATGGAGTGAATTGTGACGACTGAACCTCGCCTGAGGCAACAACGCCCTCTTCCACTGGTGATAAAACATCCACTGCTGGAACAAAACCGACGGCCAACACAACTCAGACACTGTATTCAACACAGGCACAAAAAACACCAATATGCAATAGAATGGAAGGTATTTCACCCACATATACATTGAAAATCGCTGTCTTCTAGAATCGGATCTCTTACCAGCCTCTTTGGGAACGCGGTCTGTTGAGGAATTCGTCTCGAAGCCAGTTTGCAATTCCTGGATTCCTGCTACTTCTTTGTGTCCTACCACTCTTGGTTGAGCTTGACTGCAACCGGCTTCTACTTCAGCGTCATTCATAAGAGTGTCTGTAACCATACCAGCCTCAATGATATCACTGGTACCTCCTGATGCCACCTGCTTCACCACCAACATCGTCTGCGAATGCAAGACACGAAGTGTGATGAATAAAGAAGCCATCCCACATTCATGATATTGGCAAATAAGACAGTAGGACAGTAAAAGTTCGCATTTATACTCTCAATTACATTTTGACAAAAAATAATAATAATAATAATAAATAAATAAAATAAAATAAAAAAGTGGATAAGAAGTCAGTCCTGTTGACATCAAATTCACATACCCATGATTGTCACTGTTAAACCCTACTTCATCATCTACTATGCAGTCAATGGTTTACACCATACGACTTATACCTCCTTCATGATTAGCACATGCGCAGCTCACGTTGCATTGTAGTAGTAATAATATATATATATATATATATATATATATATATATGGACTGTCAAGCTGGGAAATGTGTCCCCCACTCTGACTGGAAGACATCACCCCAGATAGTGAAATGCTTTCTGAAGACGACCATGATCCACACAAGGTGCCGAGTGGGCAGAAGTATTATAGGACGACAATTCGTTAAACCTCCAACATCTTCTTAGCGAAAGGACGGGAGACATGCAAAGAAACTGGGAGTGGTTCTTGAGTTCTTTACATTAAAGACTTGAGATGGTGCCATTTGGAGTTCACTGTTAAACATGTAATACAAAAGGAACATGAAAGGCACTACCTCACAACTGCAAATCCACATTTCATTGAGATAAATGGATTTAATGTGATTGATGCAGAAGCCAAAGAAGTTGGCGGTACTTACTTCCAATCTTTCAGTCGAACATTGCCCGAGAACTCCACCTTCCGCGTTCTTTCTATCACCACTTTCAAACACAATGTGTTTCGCAGCTCCTGATACATCGGCCCCTGATCCGGATGCCTTAATTTCTTTTACTTCCGAAATAGTCTTTTCGTGACATTCCACGCCAGCTGTACCTGAACTCTCGTTTCTACCACCATTAGCTTTTTTCCAAGGTTCTGAAGCTTCAAGATTGGCTGTAGTAATCCCTGCCACCACCGCCGCATCATCCGTCTCCATCATTTCCTCCGCACAACTCATTACTTCTAGATTCCCTGCTCAAGAAGCTACTTCGGGCTGCTTGACCAAATTTACCTGCACAAGCCCCAACTTTTGCTGATAGTGACTAATTCTACAGACTTCCCTGTGAACAAATAATAAGAGTGGCGATTTCAGTGCATGTTGAAACCCAGGTCCTCTTCGCTTCTTAAACATGCTAGGTCTGTTCCCACTAGAATTGAACCATTTCTGCTAATCGCTCCAGGAGTTCTAAGTTTTCTTAAGCAAGAAAAGGGTTGCTTCAATGATGCGGGTTACCATTCAACTCAAACTCTAACTACGACCTTGACCTCCGCTGTTGTTGAACCACGTTCGAGTCACTGATCACACAAATTCCGCCTCATATCTAAATTTCAACTACCGCTCTACAGCTATGTACATGGGTCGAATCAAGATATAAATGAAAAAGAATCGTCGAAGCTCCTCGTTCCCATCAAAAACTTCGATGAAAACATAACAAGGCAACTCAAGGTCTTCATAATCACGTCATAAAATATTGCCAAATTTGTCCGCGCAAAGATAACTTGGCCATGATTACTGACTGATAAAGAAGGCTCAAAAACCTAATGCCAATCACTGTTACACTAACAGGCTCCGTCAGATGATGAAGTGGCACCAACTCTAGAGAGGAAGTGAAAGAAAAATGTCTTTTTAGAAGAAAAGAACTGAAAAAGAACGCAAGAGTCAAGACTTCATGTACAAGCTATATCGATCTCTCAGAGAACCACGAGCAGAGGGAGAAAGACAGGGAGAGAGGGAGGTAGGGAGGGAGAGAGCGAGATGTCCTCTGACTGATCAGAACACGGCACACACCGCACCAATTGTGCAGAGAAAAAAGCAGATGATCAAACCCACCCCTTCTAATACTCAAAGGAACCTCGAAGCTTTAGAAGTGAAGAAGCTAACAATCGACTCACACAGCCGCAGAACTGTGACAAGCACGAACAAGCCCTCCCCAAAAAAACCGCATGCGCCAGAACCCTACAAAGCTTGCTTTCACACGTTCGAAAAACCCACCACAATGTTCCCACCCCTTGAAACTCGAAATTCCAACAAAACAATCACAGAGCCCCTCTTCGCTACCAATTCCCCAACACCCGAAACTTGCTAATCAAAGCAAGTCCTGGTGATATCGAAGGGGGCGGCAGGCACCTCCCTATGCACAAAATAGGGATCGCACAAAATTAGAGTGAAAATGCGTGGCGTAGGAAGTAAAACGGGAACTAACAGGAACAACACTTGGAGAGGGTGTCCGAAATGCGGAGGGGGAAGCACGAGAACGAGGTGAAGGAGAGAAACATGCCACCATGGCCTCCTCCCGCCATAGCCATGGCGAAAGCGCTCCACTTCATGGACCCCCCACTCACGCTCAACAGCCCACTCCCTCACCCCACACCTCATATCTACTACTCTCGACACGACCATTCCCCGGACTGTACATCCTTCACATCAATCCTATTCCTAGATATTCTTGGGGTTCGAACAATGCAGACTGACCTAGTCGAACCGAGATGAGTTCGTTGATTTCTGAGATCTAAAGTCTATGTTTCCGATTAAATACGCTGACGCACTGCGGAGGTTTCGGTCGTGGTGTGTCCGACGATCTAAGCCTAGTTGACCTCGCACACAGGAGGCCCTAATTGCCCGGCACCCAGATCAAGCTGCAGACCTACACGAGATTACTGCACCAAACGGACAATCCCCCAACCCCTGTTAGATAAATGTAGCAATGCCCATCTAACTGATCGAGGTCGTAACTAAACTGGAAAATTAGGGCGAACTCGTTGGGAACGAACGACCCTCGAGACCAGACGCTCTCAGGTTCATCCGGTGAACGCTTTGTCGTTCAAGGGGGAAATGCATCTGGGGCACACTTGGAGTGACCGTCTGCGACCAGTTGTGCTGTGGGCGTCGCAGAAGTTCACTGGCCGAACCCGCTTCCATGCGGTGTGCTTGTGGGGAGCCCTTCGCAACCGCCACTCTCAATATAGAGAGCTCCGTGGGCTTAGATGAACGTTCCGCAAGCTATTATGGCAGCGACACTTTCACACACTGCTACGTGTGTCCATGTCATGTCAGATATTTAACATAATTGTGGGATGGATGTGTTAGAAATATTACTGTAACATGCTACTCTTTTCCGCTCTTTTTTTTTCTTTTCTTTTTTTTCTTTTTTTTTCTTTTCTTTTTTTTCTTTTTTTTTCTTTCGCCGTAGCTGAGAATGCTAGATAGTCTGAGACAAATAGGCTTCATGATTTGGGGTTTAAGAGGGGCATGTAGTCTGAAATGTGGTCTTGATGGTATCTGTTGGGGTAACTGTGGTTGTACAAAAATTCTTGTTTCAAGGATTCCATGCTTGCCGATGTAGTCACTCCATCAGTCTCTCTCCATATATCTCAACATGTACAAATTTTTAGAACCCCAACAAGATCAGTGCTTGCAAAAAGAATGATAAAAGCTTTTGATATCTAATTCTGTATACATATTTTATATAGAGATGTATAATGAATTTAAATAGTATCTTCCACCTTAACGAAAATTCACATTAAATTGTAAAATATTCTTTATTTTTTGATAATCTTCCTACAACTATGTTAATATAGAAAAAGCATATTATACTCTATGTGCATGCAAGAATAATCAAAAAAATTAGTAGATGAAGTACAATAGATTAGGTTTATGCTATCATTGGAAAAATAAATAAATAAATAAAGAATATTTATGTATTACTTAAAATATTTTATAATTTAACTAATAATGATGATAATAACTTGTGGTGTTTTTTTTGCAATAATATATTAACAAGATATATTTTTTTGCAGTGAAAAACCTTAAAGCATTATATAAGTGAGGTTTTATGTAGTCAAAAATCATTTGGTAGAAAAATAAAATTTAAATTGAGTTAAAATTTATAATAAATGATTTTTTGGCAACTATTCCTTCCTAAGTGAGTAATTTCATTACAAAACATTCTCAAAAATATGTATTGTTCATTAAAAATTTAAGATTTTATCTTTTGAAAAAATTGAAAGGTAACATGTTAAAGTTTTGTGAACTCATTAACCAAGTAAAAAAATTTGTTAATTTTGACTACAAAATTGCCTTCTTTTCCTATTTTAAATTAGGTTTATTAAGACACAACTTAGAGGACCAATTTTATCTTCTTTATTATATTTTTAGCAATAAAATGTAATATTAATTTTTTAATTAAAATTTAATTTTTAATCTATATATAGAGATAATGATATATTAAGTGGTAAAACTTAATATGATTAATTAAGTGGTAAAACTTAGATTTTCTAAAAAATAAATTGTTTATATTGATGCATATTTCACAATTTTATCAATTAGCAAAGAATGTCAAGTAGAATGATTTTAAACTTATTTTAACAATTGTTTTAGCAAAAAACATCAACTTAAAATTTAATATCTATGAATAAAAAGTATACAAATTTAAGACCTATTATTTAAGTTTTATACATCATAAATATAATATCAATAATAATGATAATAAATATAAATATAAATTAAATAAAAAAATATAATGTTAAAATAAATAATTGATTAATTAGTAATAATAAAAATTGTTCAATGTGACATTTGTGTAGTATTATTCTAACAATATCTTATATTGTTATGCAAAATTTTACCTTATTTTGCACAATATTTTGTTTAAGAATTAAAAATAATGTAACTTCTATATTTGACTTATTATATTTTACTATTCTTATTTTTATTGATGAAGAAAATATTAAATATTACAAAATATTTTTGATATACAATACTAATCAATTGCATGTAGAGTATGTAACTAACTAATATTTAAATTTTAAAGATATTACCTACAAAGCACAATTAAAAGAAGTGCATTCAACCAATCTTATTGTTTTTGATTTATTATGATTCATATAATATAATCCTTAAATAGATTAGGTATTTAATATATATAAATTGCTATTTTTTATTTTTTTATTTCAAATTCATATTCTTTGGCTAAAAATTCTAAAATTCTAATTATTAAAATAAATAAATAAATAAAATCTATAAGTTACAAATAAGAAAATTTTATTTCTATTCCATATAACATCTAATTCATTTTAAATAAAGTTGCTAACAATGTTGTTAAACATTACAAGGACTACTTAGAAATCTTTGAAAAAAACCAATTCTTTTAAAAGCACAAATGATCACTTATAAAGAAATGAAATTTCTATTTGAATCAATTTGCAACCAATTATGGAGTAAATTAGTAGTTTTTCATATTATATCAACAAAAATCTTATATTCTTTTGATTTAATACTCAAAGTTCATATATTCATGTATTTTTTGTAAGAAGAAAAGTACGAATATATTATTTATAACTCAAAAAGTTGATAATTAAGAATCATGAATATTGTTGTTGTGAAAACTAATTTGAAAATGTACTAGGCATTTGGTTATAGGTGATAAATTATATTTGCAACAAACAAAGAAGCTTGCCTTCCTAATAGAATTTTAAACAAATCTTAATTAAAATTTAATAATTATAATTAAGTCTTAATAAAATTTTAAAGAATATTCTAAAAAAATATTAGAAAATACTATATATATATATATATATATATACATTAAAGATGTTATAGAAAAATACTTATTGAATCCTATCCAAATCTTGAATAAATCCTAAAAAAATCATGAATAAATCATAGTAAAATTTCTAAAGAAAACCTATAGATATCCTAAAAACCTTAATAAAATCCTGCATAAAATCCAATCAACCTTAACCAATCTAAGATAGTCTTAAAACATCAATAACTATTAATTATATTGCAATTTTTTTGTAGACATTGCAATCTAATGATTAACAAAAAAACACAATAATTTAAAGAAGAATCCAACATATCAATTGGGATAAAAAGTTCTTTAATTGCGTGGGTGTTGGTTGTCATCTTTTATTAAACTTGATGTTAATCTTTCAACTATAATAACTCCTTATTTAATTGTTCACTTACACTCAAAATTGGCAAAATTGTAAAATACCAAGTTCACAACCTACTTACCTAAATTTGCTTCAATCTAATTGATAAGTTATTTAAGATTAAAGAACCCTTGCTGATCCTTGAAATCCAAATTCTAAGACACTAATTTAGTCAAAATTTAATAACCTTCAATCTAACTACTAGATTGAGTTTAAATTCACAAAAAAAAATTAACACAAGTAGATGCACAAGCCCACAAATTTTGATCTTCTAATGTACCAAAATATTCACAAAAATTCTCAAGCTTATAAACTCTATTTTATTTCTACAAAATCCAATCCACTTCAAATGCCTTTCACTATGGAAAACTATGAAAAGTTTAATATTTGCCATCATCACTCCAAATCAAAGTTCAACCAAATCTTAACAAGTTTGCTTTCTAATCTTGCTCTTTGATCAAAAAAAGAACCATGGATCTATTGTAGGTGCACTATTTTGTGCCTTGAGGTTTGGTTTTGGCTTAAGTTCACAATTAGTCCTCTCTAAGTATCCATTTATTGTTTTGTCATGTAGTTTTTGTTAGAAACCACTCTTATCTCCTTCCTAAAAATAATTCTATTACTTATTTTTTTAATCTATTTTATTTTGATTTGTTAATAGTCCTACAAAGTATATAGAAGTATCTTTTAAAAAAGAAAATATTATCATTAAAAGATATTTACAACTTATCTATCTTTTATTCATGTTTTTTCTAAATCAAAATTCATATATATATATTTTCTTTTGCCTCATAGCTGTATTATAACACAACATCATTTACTATTGATATATAAACTTATCAATTATTTAAATCGGATTCTCTATATATATATATATATATATATAACATTACATAAATTACTTTTGCAATATAGAAAATTTATTATCTATCTAAAAAATATTTTTTTATTGCAAGTTCAAGTTGTACCATTGATATAATGATTGTAGTTTTTATTTTATTTTATTTTATTATCAACCAAATGTTTTATTAGTTTAATTTTTAGAATATATATATATATATATATATATATATATATATTATTGCAATAATGTTTATTTGAGATATTTATCAATTCTATATATTTATTTTTTATATTTATTATTATTTATTAATCAATGTATTAATATAATTTTGATAATTTATGTGATAAAGCAGTTCCAATATGTTTTGAAGAATAAAACATGTCTTGAGGGAAGTCGAAAATTGCACTTTAAAGTTCTCCCACGTTGTAATATGTAATATAAAAATCAATTATTATAAGAAAAAATAACTATTGATGTACCATTATTTTTTTAAAGAGCATTTTTTTATTAATTGTCTTGAAAATTGTATTGACTTGGTAATTCAAAATTTATATAGAAAATAAAACCTTCTTTGTTGAAAAGTATCAAATCTATACAAAAACTAATTTAGACTGCATATATTTACCAAAAACACTTACGTCTTGTTGCTGCTCTTCTTCTAGTTATAATATTATCATTATTCTTATTCCATGTTCCACAAGACGTGTGAAACCACCCCTTATGTCAACGGAACGAATGTAGTGCAGCATTTCATCCATTGGATGGACATGGTTTTTGAGGCTCTTGGCTCCGTCCCTTTGCTTTCGGAGCTCGGGAGCACTCGCAACAGAAATTCGAGCTTCAGATAGAGCCGTGGGTGACTGGCAGAATGTTTTTTGACTTAAAGTGCGCACGGTTTTTTAATGAGAGGCACCGGCTGTACTTTGTTGAATGTTAGTTACCATTTGAAGTGCTAGAGAAGGTTTTCTTGACCTATTTTTTTCTATTTTTTGGGGTTGATGGGAGGTTATGGTCTTGTAGGGAGGAGGGTTGGCGAGGTTATCAGATGTTGCTGGAAAATTGTATCGGGGTGTTAGGGTTTTTTTGGTTCTTCTGTAACGCATGAAGAAAGAGCACCATGAGTGTGCGGATGCTGAGCCGCCCGGGTTCTTCAGCAGGCTCCGCGCAGGCAGCGCATCAAGGTGGAAGTTCCTCTGGTGCCGTTCCGACCTCGCCTCCTGTTCTGCCTAAATCTCCCTCAATTTTTGTTTCTCCGTCTTGGTCACCGGGTTCTGGTCCAGCTTCATCCCCTTCCGCGGGTCTTGCCTCTTCTCTTTCCGATGGTGGTGTTTTTGGTGCCGATTTCTCTGGAAACGAATTCTCAGCAATTGACATCGCGGATTTACGGGATTCTGCACCAAAGATTGTCCTGCCAGCCCCTTACGAGGACGAAGATTTGACGGACTCTCACAATGAGCAAATAGTTGTAGTCGGTGTGATAAGCAGGCTGGAGGATGAAGCCTCACAACTTTTGGACCGCATTCTTCTTGCTCAAATTTTCTCTGGCAGAAAATGTGCAAGTTCCTCGGAACGTAGAAATTTTCAAGGGGTCCAGGAAACGGTGAGGATCTCAAACCCTAATTTCTCAGCGGCTGGATGTGATGATGCATCACGGAGTCCCAATCCTCAAAGAAGTGAAACAGAGAGAGCGCCTTCACATGATAATGGCTTCATCAGAAAGAGAGGTTTGGTTAAAGGTAGAGGGAAATCTGACGAAAGTAGTAGAAGTAGGGATGGAAGCCAGAGGGACTTCAATGCAGGTTTTAGAGATGGGGACGCTCAATCAAATGCTTCTCAGAAGACGATAGGTAAGACCGAGAGCAAGCCTACCGGTAATGCGGTTGAAAGGGATTGGTTAGATGGAAAGATAAAAAATTACTACGATCGAGAGAAAGGTATATTGTACGTTCAGTATGTCTGGGGTTCTCTGCCCTGTGATTGTTTGAAGGAAGATAATCGAGCTGGGGAGAATCTGTCTGAGACATTGGAGCGACATGAAGCTGACAGTTTTCGCGGCTTACTATTCATGTTTTCTGTAAGTTTTTTGTTGTTGTTGTTGTTGTTGCTTTTGTTGTTGTTTTACTATGACTATTTCCCTATCCTCATACGAACAGTTGCATAAGAATGGTTGCAAAGTTAGCACAAGAAGCTTAGAAAAGCTGGCAGCATGGCTTATGACTTGTATACTCTGAAACCGTCACATTGAGATAGAATGACGAAAGCACAATGTACGGTCGAAATTTTCAGCGAATTTCACGTTCTTATAAATATAAAGTGGATTAGTCATGCATTGGGCACGTCTACTGAAGATATCACTCTTGATACACCAATTGAAGAGAAAGCGGATGTCACCTCCATAAGTAGTCTCCTTAAACGTGGTGTTATCAAAAAGCAAACTAAAGGGTGTCTGCATTACAAATTATGATTTTTTTTAAAAAGTATTTATTTATTTATAGAGTGATTGTCGATTTCCAATTGGTTTCGATATGTGTTTGTACTAGCCTAAATTAGCGGAGATGTATCCGCCAGACTCCAGGCGTGTAACTAGTTTCTAATCAGTATTGGACGAATTTTAGTTGTTTCTGCTTAAAGATTTGTTGATTTGAATCCCTTGTCAGGATTCCTAGTAGGTGCTAGGCATTCTATCGTACGTTACATTATTTGGTAATTATGAAGATAATCGATGGCAATGAAAGCTTGTTCGTGATGGAATGTTGCGTGATGGTATAGTTACGTCTGCAATGACATTTGTTTGCAGATTTGTGGTGGTTATCTTCGTTTCTTTCACATAGCATGTTTTCCATTTTACCTTTTCTGTATTATTATCTTATAGGGTATTTTTTACAGGTGTGTCATATACTCTTGATTGTTCAAGAGGGATCACGTTTTGATCCTCGTTATCTTCGGATGTTTCGAACTTTGCAAACTGCAAAGCATGCTCTTGCTCCTTTTGTCAAGTCTCAAGTGCTTCCAAATGTCCTCCCTCAACCCACCAGCAGATCTTCCTCGTCTTTCCGTGCAGGGGCCCCATCCCGAGACACAGTCGGAAGGAGCGGGGTTGGGGTAACCACTGGCCGACAAAGCTCTTCAAATGGGTCTCTGGGTGGTGCAGTTCCTGTTTTGTATCCCGGACAGTGCACGCCTGTTGCTCTTTTTGTATGTTTGGAAGAATTCGTGGAATCAACATCTGGAGGTAATAAACCTGGGTCCGCTATTGAAGATACAATTAATGGTTTAGCGATTTCAAGCATTTTGCATAGCGGGCCAGGGACTTCTTTATCTCCTGACAGTACTTACAGCAGACCGTCAAAGTCTTCGCAATCGAGCTCAGGGTTGAGCAGGCCTGGAAGCAAGACTGAAGGAGGTGTTCGTAAGAAGATGCAAGCATCGCTTGAGACGCAGATTAGGTTCCTTCTGAAAAAATGTCGAACGCTTGCCAATGTAGTAGGGGAAGGCGGTTCCTCTGGCTCTGGAGCAGCTGCTCTCCGAGGGCTTGGTGGTGGCGTGAATACTTTTGGTGGAGCTACCAGTGGCGGTGCACTTTTTGCATTGGATCAAACCAGAGCTGCTGTTTTCGTAGATAGAGTTTCTAATCGACCAGGAGCTGGTCTTGAAGAAATTTCTGGTGTACTTGCGAGTCATATGCGGAGCTCGGAAGGACTTTCCACTCAGACACTAAACCTTACAGGTAGACATTATAAGAACTCTTGTGAACATTTGAATTTGAATTTGAATTTGAATTTATCAAGGCACTGCCGTAAAGTGATCGAAAACTGTCTTTTAGGGTATCTGGCTATGTTACTTTTTATGTTTTAACACATTAAACTTATGATTAAACTTTCCGTTCATTTGTTGTTACAGAATATTCTGAGCCAGTGTTGGACGATATACAAGCCATAAGGGATTTTTTGTTGAGGCATACAGAAATTTTGAGAGGGAGGGGGGCCACAGCCAGTACCACAACAGGTGTGTTTATCCCTGCAGTATCTTTTATGTTTGGTAACGGCGCTGGTAGAATAAATGATATCTGTATTACAAAATATGACAAGTCATTCAGCTCATGTACTTCTATAATTTACCGAGACGTGTATGCAAGGAACAATGACATCTGCTTGCATCATCCGGAGCCCTGTGGTGGTAGACATATTGTCCATCTGCAGTTTTCTCAATTTTCACTTCACTCTTTTGAAGCACCTGTGTAAAGTGGTTGATCGGTTTAGCGCTCCAGACAACACTCATGTGTAAATATGTAACAACGGTAGCGGGATTCGTGGATGTAATTGGTTCTTTTACCCTTCCTTTGATAATCATATTTTTGTTTCTAATGGCAGGCAATTCTGGCGGTGCTGGTATGGTTGCTGCTGCAGCAGCTGCAGCTGCTGCAAGCGCATCTGGAGGGGCCAACGGAGCCACAAAGCCCCTGCATATTCCACCTGATCTCCCAACTGTGACTGTTTGGTTTTCTGCTTCTCAGATTCTTGCAGATGCTCTAACTTCATCATGGGAAAATCGTGAAACTGTTAACACCGAACTTTCAGCTGTTGAGAAAAATGAGAATACGAAGGCCCAAGAGAGCTCTCCCCGCAAAAGTACTAGGAGGTACTCTCAATCGTCCCAAAGCCTGACAAATGCAAATCCCTCCAGCGGGACATCAAATTTGTCAACTGTGGCTCGGCAGCGAGTATATTCTCTAGATGGAGTTATCTCCATTCTAGACAGTGCGATTGACATTGATCACAAGTTTTCCAAGAAGTGGTGCCAGAGATCGCTTCCGATCGCTCTAGAGGTTTACTTGAAAGACCTTCCGTCTACATATCCAACAGTTGTCCACAATACTCACCTTCAGAAAGCCCTTGCTGTGTTCCATAACATGGCCAGAGGGCCAGCAGTGTCGTCGTTTGTTGAGAAGTTGATTCCAAGTTGCGAAGCTATTTGGCTTGCTGGACGGCAGCTGTGTGATGCTGTAAGCCTCACAGGAAATCCTTGTAGACATCTTGTGCATGACGTGGTAAATGCAGAGGTAAATCTCTTGGAAGTGTCCGAGGCTGGAGGAGAGACTTCGGATAAAGTGCTCAAGAAGGATATGAAAGGTAAAATTTTGAACACTGGCTACGCCCGTAGTTTTTTCTTTGCACATCACTTGCACATTGCCACGGTTGGTTTTTATAGGATACTCTCTTTGTAAAGTAGTACTAAAGCGGCTGAACCCGGCACAAGAAGATTCTCACAATTATTTTCGGTTCTTATGCACACCTGTCTTTCTCCTGTGTTTTTTCATGTTTTGTTTCACTTGTTTGTATCATGATTATTTCATTTGTTGAATCGAATATGCACATTGTGGCAGGAGGGGGTTCATGCAAGCCACACTCAAGCGGTGTGGTGTTTCTTCATGCTTGTGCATGTGGTCGCTCTAGGAAGTTGAGGAAGGACCCCTTTGATTTTGAGAGTGCAAATGTGACATTCTTTCAATTTTCTGGTTGTGAGGACATGTTACCTTCTCTGGCCTTGCCTGCTAGCAGTGGTGTGAATCATCTGGGTGGTTCATCCTGGAGCCTTGTCCGTCTAGGGAGAGCACGCTACTACCATCCCGGTCATGGTTTGATGCAAGTAGGGTTCATTCCCGAATATAAGCATTTGTCAGTGTGGGATATTGTGATACTGTTTGAAAGCAGTTTTGCGACAGTTACCCTGCCAGCGAAAACAGACAACTCTCTGCAGCCCCACAAAGCAGGAATAGAGCGTGACCAATCTTATCATGCCCTTTTCATACCTCAGAATGGCTCAATAGATACTAAAAATGAGGCTCATGTAGAGCCGACTTTTTCTAGTAAAGTCACCGGAAACGGGTCATTTAGTGAGAGCAATAGGGTGGTTGCCAATACCTCGACTTCTAGGATGGACAAAATTAAGATGAACACGAGCTCCTCATCAAATGTCAATTATGGTGGCGATTCTGCTTTTCCTCCCTTGCCACAAAAAGAGAAGAAGCTGCAGTCACTGCAGGCACCCCAAAAATCTCTGAAACCTTCGTATGTTGAGGAAAGACACGATGCCGTGGAGGACACCCCTTCAGGGGTAAGGAATGACACGTTAGAGCATAACGTGGCGCATACTATGGCTTCTTTGAAAACCGATGCAGAGGTAGAACAGTCTACCAATGATGCACACTTGTTTGACTTCGACCAAACATCGAATGTTCAGCGTGTTCAAGTATATATTGGCTTTGAGCATGAATGCCCTCATGGACACCGCTTTTTGCTATCTGCTAACCATGTTCAGAGTTTAGGAGTATCTTACCCTCAACCTGATATTGTGGAATCAGAGCAAAGTCCACAGATACATGTTAAAGATGAACAACCTGTGACCACAGCTTTAACTCATGGAGGCGCTGTTTTTGGTAAAAGGGCCGGAGTAGACTCAGATGCTATGAGAATACTGAAAGGTTCTGGAGATGGACATGCACTATTGGGGATGGATCTGCCCATTTTTATGCACTGTCCTCATTGCAAGGCTTTGTCGAGCCGTGAGGAAAACGAGGAGGGCATGGTTTATGGGGGATGTGTATCTCAGCTTCAACGGATATTTTTGGTACACTTCTTGGCACCTGTGGCTAGTCTACTCTTGAAATTTCTTGCATTTTTGTCATAAATTATGCTTTCTCGAAAGCAAAATTAGGTCACTGGTCTATTTTAGGTTGGATTGTGTATGTTTAAGTTTTTGTCTCATAATTTAAACACTCCTAACTCTTGCTGAGCTTAATTGTATAGGTCACACCTCCGATTCCCTTGATACTTGCTACTCAAGCGGTTGTTCAATTTGAGGTATGTCATAACATGTGACTCAATGTTGTTGTCATTTAGGACTGTTTTTATGTCAGTCAATTATTTGATTTTTCCCCTTTACGTATTATGCAGCTGTTATCTAATCAGCGCGTGTTGCAGTTGTTGTTTGACCTTGAAATTTGATAATGTTTGAGAAGGCATTTATTATGACACATGTACACACTGGGGAAGTCTCACGGGAAAGTACGAAATTTAGTACTCGGTTATGGATCAAATTTACTAATTTATAAGTACCAGGCTGACTTTCTCATTTGGAACATTCTTGGTTCCCTTATTCTATTCATTGTACAGTTTGTGTGTTTATTGTTAGTTCACCAACATTGCTAAGGCTTGGATCTATTGCTTTACAGGAATCATTATCATTGAGCTCATCGAAGTTGAACAAACAAGTTATCTCCAAACCCGTGGTTCATCCACAGCAGGCAGTTGAGCAAGATCTCAAGTTTGAACCGGAAGTGGTGCTACCACCTGATAGTTTCCTTGTGCTCCGTTTGCCATTTGTTTATCACACTGTTGAAACAAATGGTAAGCGTAGGCCTCTGAGTTACAACAAAGATGCACCAGAGCGTTCAGCTTGGCTTGTCAAGGGCACTGCACTTCGCCTGCTTGCAAGAGGAGCTGGAGCCATGGAAGCACTTGCATTGCATTAAAAAATCAGTGTTTGAACAGCATGGGACTTCAACTATCGTCAGGTGGTGCATGACAAAGCCTTAAGATAGTTGCCCTATCAGAGGACTCTCGAATGTCATTCATTCAAGCACTCGATATTCCAAATGGGTATGTCTGCTCCACACCCTGAAGTCATTGTTTTTAGTTTTCCTGAAATTTAAATCGTTGTGTACCTAGCTTGTGATTTGTTCTCTGGTGTATAGTCAGGATTGTAGGTGGCGAATATACCCGATACTACTGAGGATACCAAGAAGAGTGTATCACGATACTCGGAAAGGAGCTGGGGAGGCTGGCCTGGCTAGAAATGTTGTCTTCAGTTAAATTACTGGAGCTCTTCTGCCAAAAAAGTGTTGTGTGGAGCGGCTTCTTGTGTCAATAACATGATCATTCGCTCAGACATGCAGGATGTCATAATGACCTAAAGAAGTGGAGCCAGCATCGAAAGGAGGGATGGAGCTTACTTCAATCCGTGTAGTTCTTTGGTAGAATTGAAAACATGAGTTATGTTTACTATCGGTAGCATTGGAATTATTAGTTTAGAATTTTATAGAGATCAAGGAGGCGCTTTATGTTCATTCACTCCTCGCACCGAATTGGTTTACGAATCCCTTTGCTTACTTATGAACTTCGAGCAGGGGAAATAAATTTGTGATTCTAAGTCTGTGCCATCCAGCTACTTCAGCCTCCTGAAATGCGTGAAATATCTCGTTTTGTAAGTGGTGTTAATTTTGTTTTATGTATTTTATTTATTTACTTTGGTATCTGAATACGTGATTGTGTAAAGAGTGTCATTTTGTACATTGACCCTGTGGTTTTTGCGACCAAGATCAGTCTTGATCGTTGCAACGGTTATCAGTTTTCTTTACCACTCAGAACTCATAGCTCATCTCGTGACATTACTGCATGAACTGTAGGAACTATGAATACATCTTTTGTTTTGTTTGTTTGTGTTAGGGTTTTTCTGTTTTTTTCTTCTTTTTTTGGCAGGTGTGCATCTAAGTGCGCTTATATTTCAGGCTTTTTGAGTATGTACCCACTTCATGTACTTTTCATATATGTTCTCGCTCTGGTCTGTACTTCATGCTGGTTTTTTAAACTTGCCATGTAGGAGGTTACTCATCAAGAGTCTATTCTTCTTCTTGTGATACAATTGAATTGCTAAACCTTGTTCTTTTCAAATTTCTACTATAAGTTGAAAAAATAGGACAATGCCATCATGTTAACATTTTTTTTTTTTATTTTTTTTAAGTAAGAATATTTTTATATCTGAAGAGATCTGGTTTATGAATCTTTATAAGTGGGCTTAAGTAAAGCAAGATTGAGCTGGCTCAATCATGTGCACATCCATATTTTGAACATACTGGGATAATTTTTGAAATTTAATAATATTGATTAATGGTGTTGTTTAATTTCATTAATTTTTCCATTCTTAGTAAATATTATATAACATTTTTTTCTTAAATTGAAATTTCTATGTACAGAAGTATTTATGAACTTATATTTAGAGCTTCTTTACACCTCTAACAACCTGATATTGAATGAACTTTGATTTTGGGCTTATTTGTTTTAATGATATTAAAACATTCTTGCAAAGAATGTATAATCTGTGTGTCATAAGAGTTGCGTAATTAATACATAATTTGTGTATTATAAGTACTTGACAACTAAAAGGGACAATTATTATTGTATTATCAAGTGACAATTTTGGAAATACAATTAGTTGCATATATTATCATTTGGTTGTTACAACCTATTGTAGCTACTATGTGGCTTGGTAAGATGAATATTTCCAAGTCAAGTTGATGTAGTGGTAAGTTAGTTGTAGATTTATTTGTACTACAGTCCTTATTAGTAGATTATATATTTGTGTCATAAGAGCAAAAAATATATAACATATTTCAAATTGTTAGTTTCCTTAAATAACCCTTGTCTAGGTGGTAAAATATTTGCATTCACATCAAAAAAAAAAAAAAAATCTTGGCAATATTGTTTTCAAAAAAATTTATATGGTATTAAAGTTTAGTATTATAAATTTCTTTAGCAAATTAAATAATTTTACTAAGCTGTTTGTAATTCTTGGCATCTCATTTGTCTAAATTTTATTTTTTATTTTTATAGAAGTGTCTTGGGATTCAAAACCCTAAATATTAAAAGCCATTCATTAGAAATTAAACTTTATTAAAGGTGATTTTTATTTATCACTTATTTTAGAAGAAAATCTCAGAATTCTATCAAAAGCTTTAGAAAAAATGTATCTAGATCAAGTTTGTAGTTACTTTTTGTTTAAATTTTCTTAAAAGTTGAAGTTAAGAATCTTTAGAAAGTTAAATTATTAAAGAAAAAATGAATGTTTGTGGTATTTTTAAAAATAAGTTGAAAACCACCTAAGAACATAATTTAGAAAATTAATTTAAAATGTAGTTTGAAAAAATAATTAAAATAAAATTAAGTAAAAAAGTTAGACATAAAATTGGTCAAACATAACTAGCAAATTTAAAGACTCACTTATATTTAAAAGAAAAACTTTATAATTTTGAGAATTTCAACTTGAAATTGTTAGATGCATTTGAGGTACAATTCTACATATACTAAAAATAGTTTATATATTTTCAAATAATATAAAATTAAACATATAAATTAATTATTTTATAAATAAGAAAGTGAAAAACATAAAAATATCTTTGTAATATGCCTAAAATTTACATAATATAAAAGAAATACAAAGAAAAAAACTTTTTGAAATTGTAATAAAATAAATATTTTTTAATTTTTTGTAGTTTTGTGATAGTGACAACATTTTCACACCTAAAAGTTAGCTATATGAGATAGTTTATTTTCTTTTGTATGTGAAAGAAAAACTTTGTAATGACATTATTAAATTATTTTGATAGTTGTACAATAATTTAGTGGTATGATAAGAAATATAAAATTTAACCAATTAATCAGTATATATTTTTTAGCTACTGCAACAAAATTCTTGCAAAATAATTATAGAATCAATCTCATAGACAAGATTGACAAAAAAAAAAAGAAAAATAGAATCTAAGTCTCATTTTTAAATTTAAATTAAAAAGAATATATTTATATGACTACAAGGAAAAGAATAAATAAAAAAACGTGTCTATTTTTATTATTTCAAATTAAATAATGAGCTTTCATCCACGTTACACATTCAAATAATGAAAAAATAATATATTCTCTTTAAATCAAAATAGCAAATGTAAAAGAAACCCAAGTTACGATTTTTTTTATTTATTTATTTTTTTTAATTTCTTAAATTGTTATACATTGAATATATTTTTTGAGGAAAAAAATTATTTCATAATTACTTCTTGCGATTCAAAAAAATTTGAAAAAATATTGTGCATCTCTAAAAAGTTTAGTCGAAGGGACCAACATATGTATACAATACACACATAAACTTGTGTAAAATGATTAGAAATCGATACGACCAGCAGTAGCTACCTCGAATTCCGCAACGAGATCCCGACCGCTGGACGGCGACGCCCTGGGTCGCATTCGTTAGGGCTTAGGGCCACCGGTGGTGAAGGGCCGGGTCCGGACCTCTCGAACCCGGTGGAGCGGGGGGCCACCCGACCCTCGGCGCTCTGCGGAACCCTGATAACGGCTTGGCAACGACGAAAGACTTCCCTTTTCCACTTGCTCAGGCCTGCGAGCAGCTCCGGCGCTCACCATGGGTACGCTTCGCATCACCCTCTAAATCCCTTCTTTGTATGCAAAATAATGTATTGGCTTTGATCTTTCTGTGTTTGTAGATCTCCCTACATTGGCGAGCTTTTGTTTCGGCATCTTGTGGAAAAATAGGGTTTCCTGTGGAGGATTAATGGTTGTTAGTTTGGGGAGCGAGGGCTTGGAGCCTCTCTTCCCCTTACCGTGAGCTGTTGAGCTTCTTTCGTTGTGTTTCTGACTATAGCGTAATCAGTATGTAATTGGTTTAGGGTTTTGTGATGGGATTGGGTTTGTTCACGAGATTTAGGGTTTTGGATTGTGTAGGCGGGGAGCTGGATGGGGTGGTAATCTGGTTTAGGGACAATCGTTTGATTTTGTTCGTTGGTTTATGGAGAGGGATGAGTTTTGTATGGGTGGTGTGATCATGTTATGGGTTTAAATTGAATCTCGGTTTTTCCATCGTTCAGGTATCTCCAGAGATTCCACCCACAAGAGGCGGGCGACTGGAGGTAAGAAGAAGTCATGGCGCAAGAAGCGTAAGTATGAGTTGGGAAGGCAGGGTGCTATGACCAAGCTGTCTAGCAACAAGACAGTGAGGCGTATCAGAGTACGTGGAGGGAACTCCAAGTTCCGGGCGCTTCGTCTGGATACTGGGAACTTTTCGTGGGGATCTGAGGCCGTTACCCGCAAGACGAGAGTTTTGGATGTGGTTTACAACGCGTCCAACAATGAGCTCGTCCGTACTCAGACCTTGGTGAAGAATGCCATCATCCAGGTCGATGCTGCCCCCTTCCGTACCTGGTACAGCCAGCACTACGGCGTCGAAATTGGCAAGAAGAAGAAGGCCGCGGCCAAGAAGGACGAGGTATGTTTTTTTTCTCAATGTCTTGCATGAATGACTGGTTCCTTTTCGGAAAGAGGAAGTAATGGATACATCGAAATATGGATTCGCTTTCTACATTCGATTTCCTTCGTAATCGGGTTGCTTTTGGAATCTTAGGAAGCTGAGGCTACCGAGGAACAGACGAAGCAGAGCGGTCACGTGTTGAGGAAGATCGCCAAGAGAGTAGAAGGACAGAAGCTTGATTCTCACTTAGAGGACCAGTTCGCCAGCGGCAGGCTGCTTGCTTGCATCGCTTCTCGACCTGGGCAATGTGGCCGAGCTGATGGGTACGTTGGTTCTTATTGTGACATCCTGCCCTTGATTTGAAAACATGCTCCTTAATGGTATATCACAACATTGCAATCCATTTCTGTACCGTTTTATTGAGTCACCAAGTTACCCAAAAGACACTTGAAATACCGGAGATGAAATAACATCGATTTCTGTGATTGCATTCGTTACCTTCCTTTACATCTGGATGCGACTGAGTTTTTCCTAAAGATGAGCTAGACGTTTATGAAGTTAAAGCGCATGATCTAATAATGAGATTTAAATGTTTTGCAGATACATTCTGGAAGGCAAGGAGCTCGAGTTCTACCAGAAGAAGATTCAGAAAAAGAAAGGCAAGGGTGCCGCTGCTTAGGTTCACTAAGTACAGCAATCATATTGTGGCCCTTGGTGTTGCAGGGATCGAATGACAGGCAGTTGTCAGGATTTATTTTTCTGCTGTATAGGCCATCTTGTTATGGAGTTCACGTCTACATGATCTCAGACCACATGGTTGTGAATTGTGAAGAGGGATTCCAATTTGCTTTCTTAATAGAATCTCCTACTGAGTGCCCCTGATGCTCCTGTACAATTGGTTCAAAGTTGCTGTGTGACCTGGATGCTGTCTGAACTTGCTGATTACTGCGCTGAGCCTGTATCAGAGTGAGAATGTGGACACTGCTTTTTAAAACTGTTTGTCTGTTTCTTCTGTTCTGCGTATTATCTAATTTTCTCGAAAGTCCACTATGATGTCGGCAAATTGTTCGGAATTGCAGCTTCACGTGGACCTTGAAATAGAATTGTAATTATTCAATTTCACTGTCAGTGTTTTCTGTACAATATCGTTCATCATTTCACTCTTCCTAACGGAAGTTTCCTCAAAACTTGTATTGTTGTGAGAAAAGTAGTGCAGAGCATGAACCATATAAAGTACAATCCATGTTTGAAACATGAACGAATGAATACACAAATACAATAGGAGAAATACAGTCGCCCAATTCATGTGAATGATACTGTGAAAAAAACATCAATTGAATTACAATATGGCCAGAAAACAGTGACAGTGAAATTGCACAAAAATGCACACTCGCCAATTAAAAATCGGCGTATAAATATATTATTAGTCCACTTGAACACTTTCTAGAAATCCACTCTCGAAATTAAGATTGTAATCTAGAAAGGTTTGTTATACGTAAAGAAGATCGATCACTTGCACCAAAAAAAATCGTGTTAGTTGTAAACAAATATATTTTCAAGTTTTTCAAATTGCCAGCTTATGGACCCACGCATGTAAATAAATATATAATTATAATTACGAGTTTGTATGAAGATGTGACTTAGATACCTAAATACAGAAAATATGAACGCAGAAAACTGTATCAAATTCGATTCTACATCCATCAGTCAGAATCCAAAAAGATAAACAAATCACTAATGAGTGGCTGGGTGTGTAAGTATATATTTCCATACTAATTCAATGAGCAGATATTTGTAAGAATACATCTGGAAATCAAAAAGTTAAACAAATTACTTGAATTCGAAAAAATGAGATGTATACGATAATATTAATGATATTTTCATATTCCGAAGAAAATCAGATGCGACCTTCTTCCAGAAAGCTTTTCCTCAAATCTATGGTCTAATTTGCAAAACCATCGCCAATGCCAATCATATACAATATATTGAAAGATTTCTACTGAGTCAAATCACCACACCTACAATCAAATACACACAACAAACCTAGACTCATTTTTTGTTTCATAGGCTATTCAAAGAAGACATCTTGTGACTATTTCCAAAATCGGGTGGATCCGATTTGAACACTCACCAATTCTACCTTGAAAAGAACTACTTGGATTTGTAGAACTTAAGATTGAAAACAGTATTCAAAATTGAAACCCTGAAAACCCAAAGGTGACTCCAAGCACACAAACATTCCGTGCAGAGAGACCTTGCATTCACCACTAAAACACGTAAACTATACTTCTCTATACCACTAATGCAATAGTTGAACAACGAAGTACCCAAAGGTTCACAACAACCTTCAACCCTAAAGTGACCCAGCAAGCAAATCTGCAAAACTCATGATGCCTAAATCAGTAATGAAAGCATAAGCAAACCGCAGATTAATCCCGCCGAAAGAACTCCAAACGTAGTTTCTGAAATGTTGTACAATGTATGTATGCTTCAACGCTTTTTACTGCACAGCACTTGAGACGGACATACTTCTGATTCGCATCCATAGGTCTCTGGGTACAGTTTGTATTGAAATTCTCTGCAAAACTATAAAGCAAGAAACTAAAACTCCATCTGAATTATAACAGTCATTTGTAAAAGAAAAAGAAAAAGAAAATGCCGTGTAAAAACGAAGGACAATCTCGGACTTCACCTGGCTCATGACTCACGCCTTCGTCCGGTAATTGTAAAGCTTCCCAACCACGTGAAGGCAAGTCACGAACCCGATGAAGCAGAGACTCATTACAAGCACCACAGTCGGGGTGATCTTCAAGCCAGGAGCGTCATCCGTGTAGAAACGCAACATGTTGCTGTTTCCACTCCTCATGGAGCCACCACCACCACCACCACTGCCGGTGGACGTGGTTCGCCTCCTCCTCAACCCTGATCCGCCTGTACCCTTGGGAGGAGCTCCAGCGGAAGAAGTTCTCGGAATGGGTCCACCCGAGGCGGACCCTCTAGCTGACGACGCCGTCGTGGACGCCTGGCTCTGCGACCCTTTCGCCATAGCGTCCCTCTTTGTTCACTCGGCACCTCAAATACCCTGAAAACCCAACACGATAATTCTTCAACAAATCTCAAACCTGGATCTAAATCCACTTGACATCCTCGAGCAAACCTTGCGTAATCAAAAATCTTACAAATCCCTAGCACCCCACAAGCTAACGAATCAAGCTCCAAGCACTTCACAAGGCTTACAAAAAACACCCGAGATCCTAGAAATTGGATCAGACGCCGCAAAAAAAGTATGGGGAAAGTGCGAGACGTGAGACGAAAGGAGACGATTGCGGCCCTTTCAGGAGGACAGCGAGAGAGCTAACGCAGATCTTCTATGAGGAAACAGAACCACCGGGTGAGGGTTTGCAGAGTAACTTCAGGCTGCAGAAGTAGGCCGCGATGACTTGCCCTTTGTTTTGTGCCCCCGAGGCTCGCTCATAGGGTGCTCTTTCTCGGCTATGGGGTCACATTCTGTGGTCTCCGTGAGTGCCTTCTACCGCCCTCGTAGAACAGGGGCCTCGAGGCCTCCCAACCCAATCGACTTGCTCGAGGCCTCTCAGCCGTCAGATCACAAGCTTTTATCCTGGCCGTTACACATATTTTCGGGAACGCTAGGGAGCGCGGGGGAACGTGTCGGTGTGGGCAGGGAACGTAGCAGTGTGTGAATCATGTTTAATTGATTTTGAATCCTTGTATATGAAATATCCGTGTTGTAGAAAAAGTTATTGAGTAAATTTTTTGCGTTGTGAAAATTCTTCCTGGAAAAAAAAAGTATCACTTACATGATTTTACTTATTTATTTATTTATTTATTTATTTATGTGTATGACAATAAAAAAAAGTATTCTCTGAAGCAAGAATGATGGTTGAAAATCAAAACAAGTGGTTGTTCCAGAATGTCATAATATAGTCAAAAATTATTTTTTACAAAGCCCTGCAATTTTATAGAAGAGATTTTATCTATGAGCTCTTAAGAAAATCTTAGGATAAAGAAATCAAATAAAAAAAATAATAAAAATAAAAACTTTGTTCTATGTAGTATTTGATTGAGCATATTTTACTTGGTGGTGGTAATAATGGTTGTTAAAGGTTATTTCTTAAAGGAATTTGGGTAGGCATACAATAGAACACTAAAGGATTTGGGATTGAGAGGCAAGTCCTTAAACAAACTTCAATATATTATGTGTAGAATGTAGATCATTGTAGACCCAATGAGAAAAGCATCCTAACTAAAGAGAGGAAAAATGTTGCCTAAGTGAAAACTTCCATGGATTGGAGTTGTAAATTATTCTCAACTTATCCCCCCTCCCTCCTCCCTACAACCTATCTACCTTGCTAGTTTTCTTATGTTTCTTCCTTCTATTTTCAGATATTATATTATGAGCTAAATTTAAATTTAAACAACACTTATAATCTTATGGTCTCTAATAGTGGAGCTAGTTGATTGAGTTGGAAGGTTCACAAGACATGGTTCTATAAGAACCTTCTAAGTTATGTCAATATTCACATAACTTGCTAGCCTATAATGATATTTGGTTCCAAAATCACTTTATTCACACAAAAAATAGAATGGTGGCAAGGAGCCATTGCCTCATGTCATGTAGAATGCTTTGGAAGAATATCTACATTTTTTTTTTTTTTTCAAAAATATCTAAATACTCTTAAAATCTTTTCTCTATCAACAATAAGTGTGGCATATATAATAGAAATTAATCCTTATTTTGTAGCATTCATGAAAGTTCTTGCACCTACCAATAATGGTTTAGATATATTGATCTTATGAATTTCTACTTGCTTAGCAAAATCTTAGACTAAACTATGGAATTTTAGTCTATTTGAGGATTATACTTTTTTAGCCATAATAATCTTAAAATAATTGGATTCAAAGGAAATATAATCATATTGAATATTATTAAATATTATGGCTATTAATTGCTACTTCTAAAATAATAGTTTCATATATAACATTTCCAAAAGATAATAGATGGCCATCTATTACTTCTACATGTACAAATTTGGTTTTTTAAATTAAAACTATATCTTATTTTTTTGACAAAGTCTTTGTTCATAAAATAGGTTGAGGCTCTTGAATCTAATAAGACTAAGACTTTGTGATTTTTTGGTCTTAAATAACCTTGTAATTTAAAACAAGGTGAAGGATTTGATGAGAGAATAGGACCTTTATTAGGAATTACATAAGATTCTAATCGCACAATCTCTATTATAGCTGAAGAAACTTATTTTCTAACACTTTTTTTTTTTTTTTTTTTTTTTTTTTTTTGTTTTTTGCAACCATACTCTTTATTTTGTGATTTTATTGCTTTCTTAGATAATATTGAGTAGTGTACTTGAGTTCTCCACAATAAAGGTACAAATCTTTTTGACAATGACAAGTCTTTTCTTGCTTAGTAAAAAATATAAAACATATTTTATCAATTTACATAGGCTCTAGCCTAGATAAGTAAGCTTTTGAAAACTTAGAATATGTTGCTATGACTTGATTTATATTTCTTTAATACAATCTTTGTTCTTGGCATCTTTCAAAGAATTGATTATCATATATAATAACTTGAGCAATAAATTGTTCTAATGAATAAATTCTTAGTTTTATCAATAATAAATCTTTAATATTATTATTTATTCTATATTAAAATTATTTGATAAAGAATTTTCTATTCCAATCCAAGTTGCAAGCAAGATTTTGGAATTCAATAATATATGTGATTGCTAAATATAATTCTTCTTGTAGCAATAAAAGCTTGGTTTTTTCTACCTTTTTACAATCACTTTTTCCAAATATAGCCATAAATACTTCCAAGAATGAATTCAAATTACAAAGTAGTTGTGAATTTTTTTTCAGTAAAAATACAAACCAAGAAAAAATACTTCTTGATAGAAATGTGTCTATAAATTCAACTTGAATAAATCCATTGGATTATTAAAAAAGGATGCTACCTTAAATAGAACTTAATTTCTTGCACAAATCTTCAAAATTTTGATCTTGTTCCATCAAACTTCTCAAGCATACTAATCTTTACTTTTTTTATACTTTTGAAAGTGAAGCTTCTTAAATTTGATTGTGAGGCTAATCTACTTGCTTCCTTTAACAATCCAATTTCTTTGCATAGGTTCTAGACTTATTTTATATGTGTAGAAATAGTACCTCCATAATTCATATTAGAAATATGTAAGATTTTTACTCTTAGAGTGCTAATAAGCTCGTGAAATTTTGTAATAGTTGTTAACCTATTTTCACTTTTACTGAGAGTAGCATCTATAATCTTTTGTCTCATAGATAACTCAAATAAATTTAAAAAGTTGATTTAGAAGAAAATAATCTACAACCTCTAATATTAAATGAAAATTTCTACAAAGAGGAATAATATACTCTCTTTAGGAAAAAAATTAGTGTTAGAAAATTAAAATATTTATTTAAAGGTGGATAGTTTTTAATCTTTAAAATTCAATAATAGAAGTAGGATAATCTATTCATTTCTAAAACAAAACAAGAAGAATAAATTAGCATTTTTATCAAATTTTAAAGGACATAAATCTTGAAAAAAAAAAATCTTCAATATATTCTTTTTTCACTCGAAATGACTAAAAAATCCTTCAAAAATAGTAATGTATTGAATTAGAATGACTATTGCTAAAAATAAGAATATTAGAAAGTCTTGAAACAAGACTTAGGATTAGAAAGGCATTGTTAAGAATGAAGAAGGCTTCACTCTTGTCTCCATATATACTATCTAACTAAGAGCTACATGACAATGTTTTATAAAACCTTTTATAAAAGATTACTTTGTAAGACACATATCTTAACTTGCAAGGCAAGTTTTTTATATGTGCACTATATAGTTAGCTTGTTCTACAATTTATCAATACATATGATATGTAGTTAACTTATTGACCAAGTTTCTAACCTATCAATCAACTACAAACATGTATAAAGTTAAAATCGCATCTATGAAGGCTCTAGAAAGCTTCTTTAAAAGATGTTATGAAATAAATTTGTATTTATCTATTTCTATTTAATTATATAGGTAATTATTGGAATAAACACTTATGTCCATGACAACAATCTTATGTATATACAAAAAATATGTTATTTTTACTAAATTCTTTTACTTTAAATTTAGAATAAGAGAATTATATATATTAGCTTATGACATTATTATTGTTAATATTATTATTTTTATTCCATGCTATATATTTTTATAATATATTTTATATATTATTTTTTATTCACTTTGAAATATTTATTAATTTCATTTAAGAAATATTTTACTTTTAATTTATTTTGAATCTTTTTAGTATAAATTAAGATTTTATTGTATAAGCAAGGATTTGTGGCATATGTGGTGTCCACTTAATAGAAAGAAGATGTCTACTTAACATTTTTTAAAGTCAAATTTATTATGAGTTATAAATTTTTTATATATTATTTTGATTATGAATAAATAAATAAACAAATATATATATTTTTTATAAAATTATATAATAATAATAATTATATATATATATATATATATATATATATATGTATAAAATAGCTTAAGTATAACATAAAAGGACAAAGAAGCCTTTTGATTGACTATGAAGAAGGGAACATAGTGAACTTGGAAAACAGAGAAACTAAGGAATATGAGAACCATAGAAAATGAGAACTAAGGAAAGAAAGAAAGAACTTGGAAACATGGAAGTGTGGATGTGCAAAAGATTGTAGTGTCTAATGGTATGGATTTTTGCTAGTATATATATATATATATATATATATATATATATATAATAAAATAATGTTTACTTGAGGTTTTATTAATATTATATATATTTTGAGTTAAATCTAATATTTAATACTTATACATAAAATTTTATTTTTTATATATAAATCGATAATTTTTTAATAAATTTTACTAAATATACATAATTTTACAAGAATAAAAGTACAAAAATAATATAAAATATACATTCATTATGCTACACTATTAAACATTGACTTAAAAATTTGGTTGTGCTTGAAAGGATTTATTCCCTTTTAATATTGTAATCTCATATCTAGTCTCATATTACATTTCACATGTAAAAAATAATCCAATTACGTCCATAGCAAGTTCCGTTCTATCTGCAACACCATCATCGTCCGTAGTAACTAACGTGGTTCTTTCATTCCTTCGGTTTTCATTCATCCATAAGCTTGGCGAGTCCAAAACCGGATTCTCACTGTCTCTATGTGTCTGCGATGAGTTTTTCAAGCCCTTTTGCAGCGGTTGGTATCTAAGGGCCGGCGAAGTGCCCTGCTATTTCTGCGGCCACTGCTCCGGCGATTTCATCGGTAGTTCTACAATGCGGGTTACGCTGCGACTCTGGGAATTAGTGGTTATCTCCGTCACAATCACCACAGTCTATGTTAGATCGGGATTTGTGCTGTAGTTAAAGGAGTCCCATTCCAATGCAGTTCGTTCGAGGTTCTGGAGGGAGAAAGTTTTTAGGAATTTTATATCTACCAGTTATTGCGTCGAGCAGCTTGCAGCATAAAAGATATTAAGGGAAAACGCTAACGAATATGGCTTGCGAGAGTGTGAATGGCAATTGGAATCTCCGTGAAGCCTCTTGTGGTTGTCAGCCAAGTCGTTGTCTGATTTTGTCCTTGGTGTGGTTATTTTGCTGTTAGAGGTCTTGTTCCAAGGGTGAGTCATGGACACCGATGCGCGATTTGAAATTACGCCGAATTCACTGAAGGAATTATGTAAGGCTCTGAAATTGTAAGTTTCTTGACTCCATCTGATGATAGTGGCTTCGTATTCCGGATCGTTAATGATCGAGTCTGATGGGCAAAGTCTGAGCCGTGAGGCTTTACTGATGAATGTATGCTTCTCATAATTTGAAGGACATGGGGGAATGCTCTTAGGTACACAAGCTGCCCTGAGCTTAACGAAGTTATTCATCTTCATCAGAAGGTATATCCGATCATCTCTTCTGCATGGATTCGACGGAGACAGTAAAGATTGGCAAGCAATGCCATTCTTGTTCAAGAATAGTGCTGCACCTGTGCTTCATCTCGCGAGTAATTTGAGTAATTTCATAGGAGCTAGTGTTGGGAAAATTGTCAGACGATAGTGCTGTGCAAATGAAAGTTGATGTGAGTTTCTCAGTGCGTCCAGGCATGATCAAGCTCTAATGTAGTCCATGAATTATTTTCGGCGATAACTTACATGCAAGCATGGATCTCTAGTTTCTTGACGGCACAAATGCTGATAGTTTATTGAAAGACACTGCGGTTTGTCAGAACAAAATATAAGTTCCTTTCCCCGAATGGTAGAATCAATATGTCTGACTTGAAAGGCGGGCTTTGCGCTGGGTTAGGGTATTCAGAAGATTCAAAACTTGGACGAATACACGGGATTGCGCACAGTGTACCTTGAATGTAATGGTACGCTGGCTCTTCACCGTACAACATTTTTAGCTGTCATGGGCTGAATTGATGCTTTCTCCCTGATTCCATGTCCCGTTTCAGATCTTGTTGGCATAGAATGCTTCATCCAAAATTACAAAGTGAATTTTGTTTTCTCGATTCGATATGTTTCCAGTACTGTGCTAAATCTGATTTAATTTTTGTTTACTTCCACCGCAGCTGTTTCAAAGATGGAAAATTTGGAGCCGCTTGTCAATCTTCGATGCTTATACTTGAACCAAGTGAGAAATCTATTAATCAAGCAAGCTGAGACCACTCAGGTTAGGAAAGAAATTGACACTTTAGGTTTTAATTGACATGTTTGGGTGTGTAGAACTTGGTGGAAGTTGTTGAAGGGCTGGAAACGTTGAAATACCTTGAAATCATCGATCTGGCAGATAATCTGGTAACTCAACATCAAAGCACTTGGATTGTGTCAGTTTTACTACTAAAATCTGTCTTCAATTAGTTGACTTTTTCATCCAGTATTTATTTGATTCTCAACATGCATGTGTTCAACCCAGCTTTGTATATTCTTTACAGCCCTGAAGTGACTAATGGGGTGCAACAAATGCGTGTTGAATACAGGAGAGTTAAAATATGTGCTAACCTTCAAAGAACTTCCTTGATTAATCATCATAAACAGGGCCATTTTCTGTTTGAGATGGACAGATAAAGAGTGTTGCAGGATTAGCTTGTTGTCCGGGGCTGCGCCAATTGAATCTGTCTGGAAACAAGATCAAAACTGCTGAAGACATCGCTCACCTCCAGGTAATTTTAGTACGAGTATAAAAGTGTCTGCTGTTACGAGTAGCGCTGTACAATACGGCTGCGTGAATATTCTAATATTTTTAGAAAGGCAGGAAACCGTCAAAGGGCTCATGTCATTTAAAATAGAGATATCAGGAGCAGAGATGAGATAAAGATTATTTTTTAGAAATTTATAAAGAGGGTATACTCTCGACTTAGATCGAACTAAAAATTCAGATTCAAGCATATTTTACCTCCCTCATACAATGAAGACTGTACAACCAAATAAGCCAATTTTTCTTGATGAAGAGTAAACTGCTTCATTCCGTTCCGAAGTTGGCTTATCAAGATTCTTGCACCCTGGTCGCTTCGTCGAACGGAATGGATGTGAGAAACCCTTCTCTTATAGACAGAAAGTTTTACTACCTACTGACTTGGTGGCAGTGGGATTAGCAATGGTGCATGATGAAGAATCACTTGTTGAACTCCTATCCAAGAGGTCTTTCCGCAGGATTGCAAAGCCTTGCAGTTGCTCGATCTCTCCAACAACAAGATCGACGACGAGGAAGCCTTGGAGGTTTACCTCTCTTCCTCAAGTCAGTTGCTACGACACATGCCAGCATTCTGAGGATTGCAGACTATCAATTCATCTTGTTAGCAGACTACCATGATTGTTCCGGATGATTTGTGCAGAATTGTTAGGATCGTTTAAGGAAGTCCTTGAAAGTCCAGAAGTGTTTTTTTAGAATTACCTCAGTAAGCATAATTCATCTAACATTGTGATTACAGGTAGTAGTGTCAACTGGTTGTTGCATGCTCTTGATTCTTGAAATAATTTGAGTTGGTGGACCTCAAATCGATGTAATTTAGTGTCAAATGTTAGTACATTGCTTTCATGATGTATCTTGTATTGTGTTTTGAGCGGTATCAGATTATCCGCAGCATGCCTTTGCATCTCCTTCGTCTGTGCGGCAACCCCATTGTGTCGATTGCTGAACACTACAGAAAATTAACAATTTTTGCTATGCCGACGGTGAGTGATCTCAGTAAGGTTCTATTAAACCAACTTTCTCTTACTTAGTGCCTAATACGGCCAGAATGTGATGAAAAGAGAATACAAACCTTAATATAGCACATGTGGGAGTCATCGGTGTGATCTGTAATAATTTTGTAACCTGGCGACCTCTTTGATATCAGTAAACAACATGGACAGTTTGTCGGCTTTCAGTTAAAGTGTAGATGAGATATCTTTTAAGAGCAGGATTATTTTAAAGGTCAAGATTTAAATCAATTGGTCTGAACAATCATTTATGTGTGACAGCTAAATTACTTGGATGAGAGTCCAGTATTTGAGAAAGAGCGGCGTCTGGCGGCTGCTTTTACACAGGGTGGCATTGAGGTACCATACATTGCACCGCTTGCTAAATCATATTGCCAAAATTTGCTTAACGAGTTTTGTGCGCGATGTTTAATCTTGTTTGAAAACAGTTTTGTCGAAGTCATCTCCCACTGACACAGTTTTCAAATCGTTTGCCTCGAATAAAGCGTCTAGTTGCAGGATACATCGCACGCTTAGGCTTCTTATTGAGTAGCATTTTGTCGTGAGCATTTCATGGGTTTGTACAATGCAGGCAGAAAAACAACAACGAGAGGATTTCAAGAAAGAAGAAACTGAAAAGAGGGCAATGCATCGGAAAGGCAAGCAGTGTGTTGAAGTTCATTGAAAGCTGTTCTAAAGCAGCACTTCCTTTCTTTGAACTCCTGCGGAATTGCACATATCAAGTTGATATCCAACCTGTCGCTTACTCTAGAACGACCTAAACACATCCATTTCCTTGAGGCTGAATGGAAATAATCCCATGAAAGGTCAATGAAATCTTGGTTGAAAAAATGACACAGCTGCTAAATATGAGTTGTACCTTTTACATTGCAGCTTTCCAGGACCTAGTTGAGAAATGTAAAGGACATCAGCCAAGTACTGCTAGAGATTTTGCTGATAATGTGTACGAGACACTTAAAAAAGAGGCCAGAGAACGTGATTTACATACTCTTGGCTGCTATCCAGCTTGTAAAACAGTGTTTACTTCCTTCGATCGACCTACGCCTTCTACACCCATTACGCATTCAGTTGCAAAGAAAAGAGGGGCAAACCAACTCGATGAAGATGATAAGATAGAATCACCTCAAAAACTGCTGAAAATAACCTCTTCTTCTGAAGACGAAATGGAGGTTGAGGCCGCAGTTAGTCGGGCTGCTCGAGATTTTATGGACTTCGATTGTGGCCTAATACCAGCAGTAGAGATGGAGGAATGCGCATACGAGAGAAGTGATGAATCGACGGTTGCAGAACTTAATGTACGTGACAGATCCATTCCTTTATCTTCATCGCTACTTTAGAATGGAGCTTATTATTTCACATTTTCCCCGGAAGAATATGAGACTTCAGTATCAGTACTTGTTGATAAGGTTTGAGCAGCTTATTTTGTTTTGATAGCCGCCAAATTCAATCGCCGGAAAGCCCAAAAAATCACATTGCGCTCAAATCTATTTTAGTACCCGTTTAGACACAAATGGGAAAAGAAAAGAAGTTTAGATAGAATCAACCAAGACCATGTTCTTTCCTTAACCAATCCGTGAATAACTACGTTTACTCAGTTATTACCCTGGATTTTACTGATTGCATGCATTTTTAGTTATTTCGTGGTTAATTTTTACCACATAGATTCATTTTTCAATTGGTAACCAGGATCAGCTGGTTTTACACTAACTGCGTGTTCTCCATTCGTACCGCACACTATATGCTGCATACGATGTGGAGAGTCCATTTTCACTTCAGATCCCTATAGAAGAAGATTTTGAAGTAGAACCAAGTATGGTGATTTCTCCCTCGAAGGACAACCCTGACGACACGGAGGACCCATGGCTGCGGCTAGTTCCAGACCTACTCAGGGAATGCGTGGAGAAGGAGAGGATGCACAAAAAGAACCGGATGAAGAAAGTGTTACAAAAGACTGCATCGGATGCAGAAGACGGCTCGGAGTCCAGAAAGCGTTTCATGCAAGGTCCAGATTTTGTTGGAGAAGGAAACAATGCTTCTCCTTTGCGTTCTTCAAGGCCCGTCATATGGGGCAGCGCCATCTACCGAGGATTGTGGGCCAAGGCTGTCAACATTAATGACAATGTGGAACCGGAAGCAATTCCTCTTAATTCTTTGGTGCTTTCAACGCCAGATATCAGCTATGGCGCTTGTATCTCAACGGACGATCTGTAAAGCAGGTCAAATTGAACACGAACAAATCATGTTTACTTACGTCTTACAGATGGAATATTGGTGTTTGTAAAGTGTATACAACGTGGTACCTGAAATCAATGAATTTACTCTTCGGGTGTTTTGGTGACTTTAGCAGAGTGATTTCTTTTCAAATTTTGTAGTTGTATGAAGTGTCTAATTAATAGTGTCGAATCTCTGCATGAATATAGTTTTTTGAGCATCGTAGTTCATAACTAAGCATTTTATTAACATAGTGAACATACAAGGTCAAGATCAATAAACAGAATAGTTTATTATTATTATTACTTATTATTTATATATTTGAATTATTATTATTTGAGCATGTATGAAGCAAATATGTCGCCTTATGTTAATAAATTGGTAGAACATGAAGTATTGATGTCTTAACACGATATCATATGGACTATTATTGTTGTAATTTTGTGTAAAAAAAATTTTATAATATGGAGATTGAATATAGGATATCATATGGACTATTATTGTTGTAATTTTGTGTAAAAAAATTTTTATAATATGGAGATTGAATATAGGATATCATATGGACTATTATTGTTGTAATTTTGTGTAATTTTTTTTTATAATATGGAGATTGAATATATGAGTGAATGAGTTTTGATCTTATCAAGTGTAATTTTATTATTCCACTTAATTATGTTATCAACACTCAATTCTGGTATTTTCTTTATCATTTATGTCTAGTTCCATCAACAAAATAATTGGCAGTAAGTTTTGGTTATTTTTTATTCTTATTTATGTTATTTTTCAAGAAAAGTTGTTGTGTTCTTATATTTTTATCCAAACCAAATTTTTATCTCAATTGTATATTATTCTATGCATTTTTTTATAATAATATTTAAAATTTAGAATTCATTTTTTTTATTTAGATTTTATGTGTTCTGCATTTTGCTTCTACTGAATTGATATTAATTCATATAAGTAGGTGGTGATTTTTGTTTTTTAATTTAAATTAATTTTTTTTTGTCTTTTCTTTAATACAACTTAAGTATACTGGTTGCATTAACTGAGAAGTAAAAGTAAAATATAACTACCTAGGTTCTAATATCTTGTTGAGTCAAAAGACAAGTTGCATAAATACTATATTCCTACTTTTTTTTCTTACTTTTTTATGTACAATCAATGATTTTTATAATTTTTTTACTATAATTTGTAGAACATATACATGATTTATTTATTTATTTATTTTTATTAAATTACCATCACAAAAATAGGTTGTTGTTTATAATTTTTTAAATTTCTGATTTGCAATAAAATTATATAAATGGTAATTTATAAATCAATAATTATAAATATTAGTTTTTCTAAGTATTCCAAATACCATCATAAGTCTTATTATGTTGCCAACATTAGATATTAAAAAGAAAGTTGTAACTTTATTGTTTGAAAATTAATATAAAAAGATATTTAAAAAAAAAGATCAAATTATTTTAAAACTATTTTACAAAACAATTTGAGTTTTGCAAGATAAAATAACACTAAAAATCATTTATTTTTTTATTTAAGAATATTTTAACGAATCTATACTACTTTCAATTGCTTAAATAAAAAGATTGTTTATCCAAATCTTAGTATAGATAAGATTTGATTACACATCAAATTCAACCAACTCCAATAATATTTAATTATTCAATTACACACTTTTGAAAACATTTCTTATTTTGTTCATATTCTCTACAGCTAAATTCTAATATCACTATGACCAAATTGGCAACTTCAAATAACTCAACTTCAATATGATGTTTTCATAGTATCTACAGAAACAACAAAAAAATTAACACTTAATTAGTTAAAATTATATATAATGGACAATATAGCAATCAAAGATTAACTACTTATTTTATTGCAAAAATAGATTAATAAAGAAGAAGAAGAAGAAGCATAGTGGCACCTACAAACCAAATATTTTTCAATTAAAAGCACAAAAGAATAATTAAAAAATCATTAGAATATAAATAAAAGAGTTAATAAAATCACAACAATTATAATAAAAATAAAAAATACTAAGCTGATTAGACATAGTTCAAGAAATTTATATATTTTTAGGACTATATATAGATTTATTTTTAAAAATAGATTTGTGTTTAATTTTTCTGAATCTATTCAGATACCTATTATTTATTTATCATAAATAATAGGTATCTGAATAGATTCAGAAAAATTAAACACATATGTATGTTATGTGGTTTTGAAATACATCAAATATATTACTTATATTTTATTTAATTTTTTAAATTATAAAATCAAAATTTTAATTAATTTTATGAATATAAATTTTTGAATATATACATATATACACAAAAATATTAAAATGACCCACTCATTTACTAAATTTATCCACCTATTGTGGAAAACAAGGAGGAACGAGAGAGGTTGGGATGAGAATTGAGAACAAGAGAATGTGAGTAGAGAGGTTGAGATGAAGAAGGTTAGGAATGGAGGAAACAAGGATTGAGAATAAGGAAGGTGGGAATGAGGGCCATGATTGTGATGATGTTTTTGGAGATGATTCATTTTTCTAATGATGGTTATGACAAGATGGGTTGATCTAGTAAATAGGCATGTCATTTTAATATTTTCATATATATATATATAGATATATATATATATATATATATTTTAAGATAATATTATTAATTTATATTAATAAATTTTTTGTATATATATATATATATATATATATATATATATTCATATATGAGATCTATAAGATAAAAAAGATTATTTATAAGATAATATTTGTATTTTTTAATATAAATCTCATTAAATAATCTATAAATCATTGGTAAGTAATTATATAAATTTTTTATTAAGCATTTTTATTAACATAATCATATATCTTTATATATTTAAAAACACATATAAAAAAAAGTTTAGCTCTATATTTGATAATTTTTTTAAAGATTTTAAGACATGAAATTTTATGCAAAGTCTAAAAAAAAATTTATTATAAAAATTCTTATTAATGTTTTTTTGAAAAGAAATTTAATTTTTTAAATTAGAGTATATATATATATATATATATATATATATATAAATAAAAGTAAAATAAATCTAAATATATCTTTAAATTTTCATTTAAAATATTATTTTCAAGTTTTTTATTTATGTTTTCACTACTCATCATATTACATAGAAAGTAAAAAAATCAGCATAAAAAAGACTAATATATCTGTTGAAATGTTTTACAATGCATTTTAAAGAGATTTCAAATCATCAAATACTAGATTAATTTCTAATCAAATACTCAAATTTAAAATTCTCTTGTTTTTTTTGTTTTTTTTTGTTTTTTTTTTCTTTGTTGAAAGAACTAAATGAGGTTAAAGATTCAACATTTAAAATCCATTTGTGTATACGTACACATACAAGTAATTTAAATATTAAACATTTACACAGACATGTCACCTTAGCAAATATTATTCTAAAAAATTTAAAATTTAAAAGTTAGAATGTAATTCAATAAGTATAATTACCATTCAAACACTGATAACTATAACACTGATTTACTTTAGGTGGTCAATTAGCCAAGTGGACAGACACTAAGGTGGAACCGGTCACCACTAGTTCCACGGTTGTGGGAGGTAAATGACCCGTGACCGCGTTATGGTCTTCCCAAGACCGTGATTCCTCTGAGGTCCAAAGGGCGAAAGGGAAGCTCGAGGCACTCGGAAACTTCAAACGCTGCAGGGAATGGTGAGAAATTTTGGGTTCAATTTATTTCTTTTCTTCTGTAATCGTCTTCTTATTCAGCTGCTTGTGAAAACCCAATTAACATTTTTGTGAATTTGTGGCGAATTTTCTTCCCTCGACTTGATCGATTAGTGATACCTGGATTGCTGTGTTGGACGGAGGCCATGTTCTGGTGTAGCAACGATTGTTTTTGTCTTTTCGTTTAGCATATGTTTTTTGTATTTTTTCACAAGATGGCGGACTTTACACTGGAGTTGGAAGCGCTTCGTGTTGAGAATGCGAGACTGAAAGAGAAGCTGAAGCAGCATTTGTTGGTAGAAGATATGCTGCTTCCATCTTCGAGTAATTTGCCAAGGGCTGTGATCGGGATGAATCGAGAGGGTGGAGAGAATGCTTGCCCTGCTCCTCCCTGGATTGCAGGTTTGAGCCATAGCTTGACAGCTGCTCAGATTCAAAGATATAGCCGTCAACTCCTCCTTCCTTCGTTTGGAGTTAAGGCGCAAGAGAATCTCTGCAAGGGTTCGGTTCTGATAGTGGGAGCTGGGGGATTGGGTTCTCCTGTGGCGCTCTACCTGGCTGCTTGCGGAGTTGGGTGCATTGGAATTATGGACCCGGATCGTGTGGAGCTTCACAATCTGCACCGGCAGGTGATTCACAATGAAGCATCTGTTGGGGAGACAAAAGTCTCATCGGCCTCTCGGACTTGTCTGGCTATCAATTCATCTGTCAAGGTAAGATTGACGAACTTGAAAGCCTTCTATTCCACGACAGGTGGCTACCAGAATTTGCGATTTCAAATAAAATCTCCCGAATTGGCTCAGAATAAATGCTGGTTTGCTGCAGTCTTCGACTCGCAGCATTACATCTTTCCTTCAATTAGTGAAAATTAATTAGTGGCGCAACACCATCACTAGGTAATCACGTGTACAGGTTTTCAGGGTTCAGGGTTCAGGGTTAAAGTAGGGTTATGGATACTGATGTTGTGATTATTTTTTGTAGGTGGTTGAATATCCATTTGGTTTAGATGCGAGAAATGCGCTGGACATCATGGCTCAGTATGATGTGGTGGTGGATGCATCAGACAATGTAGCAACGAGATACCTTGTCAGTGATGCATGTGTTGTGGCGAATAAACCTCTTGTTTCTGGGGCTGCTTTGGGTATGGAAGGGCAGCTGACAGTATACAATTACTTAAAGGTTAGTGAAACTTACATCTTCAATTCTTGAGGCTTGTGTATATGGACGAGTAATGCCAATCGTATGGTTTCATAAGCTTTTTCATTATCGGTCGTGGTCCATGATTTTCACTTGAACACAAATCCCTCATGTCGGTTAAGGCTCTTAGAATCTATAAATGATCTAAGTTGCGATGTTGCAGTTTTCTCCTTATTTTATTTTTATTTTTACTTTTTAGGTATTTTTATTTTTCCTTTCTCATTTGTTTTCTTTCTCATCCGTTTACAATTTTTTTTAAAAATCGTAACTGTACATATTCCTCTCTATCCTCCAGTTTCAGTTTTGCAAAGCATTGAAGTTCATCCAACTGCAGGGACCGTGCTATCGATGCTTGTTTCCAACCCCATCTCCTCAAGCAGCATGCCAACGTTGTTCAGATGCTGGTGTGCTTGGAGTTGTTCCTGGAATTGTAGGAACTTTTCAGGCCTTGGAGGTTATCAAGGTTTTGACAAAAGTCGGAGAACCGCTCTCAGCCAGGATGCTCATATTAGATGCATTATCAAGTAGAATTCACACCGTCAAACTCCGTGGAAAGAATACACAATGTGTGGCTTGTGGAGAACTTCCGCAGATTACCCACATAACACTTCCAAATTTTGACTACGAGAAATTTGCGGCTTCACCAATGTCTGATGGGACACCACCAAGGGAACAAGTTGTGGGAGAAGATCAGTCAATCACCTGTACAGATTATAATAAATTGGTGAGAGGGCATAAGTCGCATGTTTTGGTGGATGTCAGGGAGAAACATCAGTACGACATAGCATCACTTCCAGATTCCTTGAACATTCCTTATGCTAAACTTCCCCAGCAATTAGACACAATCCGTGCTGCGGCACAAAAGCATAAACATGAGGGAGATGAGGATATGTCAGTGTACGTGATTTGTAGGAGGGGGAATGATTCTCAACGTGCTGTTCAGGATCTTCGAAGTGCTGGCTTCAATTTGGTGTATGACATTACAGGGGGTTTGCTGTCATGGGCCCAAGACGTGGATTCCACTTTTCCAGCGTTATGACAAGACCAAGTTTTGTGATGCTGCATTTTTGACGGTCAGAACCGTAGTTTATTGCACATGGTGCATGCCACGTATTGGGAACAATTGAGGAAATTGGGGGATAGGTTAACTAAGTTGTAGAATGCAGGTTGATCCTCTGTAAGGTCAAGATGCCAAACTGGACTAGTGCGAAACAATGGACTTCGCGGCACCAGAATTCCATGTAACAAAGGATTTCTTGATGAACTTTACGGTCATCGCACTTCAACTTGTAATGAGGAATTCATCCCTGCATCGTGACAGAAGTGCCGGAGCAGATGTTCGCTATCGATGCAACTTACGGCTGAACCTCCAGGTTTATTTTTGGGCAATGTGTGAACGCAGCCATCGAACCAGTATATGTTTCACCCACAACTGTTCGTTGTTAGGACTTGAATTCCCTGTAAGTATAATACTGGTGATTCGTCTCTTCTTCATCTAGGCTTTCATTCGAGTGGGAGAAAAGGTTTGCAATGTGTGGCCTCCGGCTATACGCAGGTGTCAGTAAGCGCTAGAACCTGGTTTGTGAAACATGTCTACATGTTTCAGAGTCAGAAAACTGGGCTTTTTCAACTTTACGTCAGTTCTATGACAGGTTCAAGTTCTTGTAACACATATAATTTGCTTTGCATCAAAAGCTGTTCATTATTCAACTCCTTTTCTGAATTATGGGAGTCTCCGGTATCAATGCTGCTGGAAAATCCTTTACGACTGAGTGTATACCTGTGTCTAGTTCTACAACAGCTGCTCAGTTCCATTGAGTTAATTGTAACATTTCTGCCCTTGGATACTGTGAATTGCCGTGAGTTTAGCTGCCATTATAACCCAGTTTTTTATACCATAAACGTATACTCAATTCCTTGCTTTGCGGTCTATTTGTATAGCTAATCCTTGTTTTGCAAGTTACAAATCTGTTGCTGATTCTCACTCTCGGATGTTGTGATGGCTTTTCACTTCCAACTTAGCTTTACCTGGACCTTCTACTCACAAAGTTGAAATACTCGTTGACCCCAGCTAACCTGTGATACCCGTGTCTTGTACTTGATCTTTGTTGCTTAATTCAACACATTAAAGAATAGTGACCACCAACATGTGCCATCCCGTTGGATGTACTTGCATAAACTTCTTGAACTTCTAATCTTTTGGAAGCAACTACTTGTAAGTTAATTGTGTAAGGTCTCTTCTTAGTGAATTGTCTATTTAACAAGGTCACATCACATCACTGTGAATCCCTGTAGTGATGTGTTGTTTCACATCTTAGGACATATACTACAACTTAGGAAAACCCTTTTTTTTTTTTTTTTTTTTTTTTTCTCTTATCTTCTCTTCTACAGGAAGATGTGTACTTTTACAATGTAATGTTGTCCTCACAATTTCATGTTGGATCCTCTAATTTTATGGTAACCTTTGAAATTGATCCTTAATACAATTTGTTTTATGCCAAAAGCTAGTATTATATTGGGATTGTCTTAGTTCAATCTAAAAATAAAAATTTGATGTCTTCTTTATTAAAAAAAATATATTATAATTTTTTCTATTTAATTCTTTTAATATATATTATTAAAACAATTAAATAGAAAAATTTATAATATATATTTTTTTATAAAGAAGACATCAATATATATATATATATATATATATATATATATTGATTTTAACTTATTAAGTACTTGTAGTTTATTATTGAACATTTTAGATGAATAAATTTTTGATTTTATAACCAATCTCTTTATGTGAAACTTTAAACTTAAGATATAAGATAGAAAAAGAACTAAAATGGCTATTGCTAAGTACAAAGAAGTTGGAGAGTCTTGAATCAAGACTAGAATACAAAAAAATGTGTTAAGACTAAAGTTGGTCTTTTTTTGTCTTCATATATATTAGCTTCTAAAAAGGCCACATAATAACTTTTGAAAGATAACATAATTGGTGAGAAAAGTAGTCAATATGTGGCCAAGACATGTATCTAATGCCTCATGGTGTTTTTAGGTCCAAACCATATCTAAAAAGTATTTAAGATGCTATCAAAAGAAAATATTATCAATCCAATATACCTCTAACTATTTCTACCTACTTTTATTTACATTAGTATATGCATCCATTATATTGTGTATGTTCTTTTTAGATGATGTCTCATTTTGACAATGTTATATTAAGATAAACTTATCTAAATTTGTTATATAGTTTTTTTTGCCATGTAGACTAACTTCTAAAGAAGTGGTATGTTTTCACTTTGTTATAATATATGTATGTGTTTTTTAAATGTTTCATACTTATTATGCTTAGTACAATACATTTCTTGATATAATATTCTATGAATAAGAAAAACCACTAATGTATAATAAATTGGAATAGATTATTATTTATTTATTTATTTTTTTGTTGTAGTAGTTGTTGTTGTGATTGAATTACTTACAACAACTTCAAGTTCCCTCTTCATGTCTATACTTAGCACTAAACAAAATTTTCATTGGGATGAGTAATTCTAATTTGTCTCTTCGCCTAGAACTTGTTGTAAATTAACTACAATGTGTGATTTGAGTGTTTGAAATTCATCCAAGATCCCTTTGGATGTAATTCATGTAAACATTTTAATATTGTCCATGTTCTTAATTGCATTCAAATTCTACATTACTTTAAGATCAAAGTTTCGATTCTAAGTTTAAAAGTTATAAAAACTTGTTGTGGTTTTGTATAGAGAACATAACCATATTTACTAAATAATTTCTATTAATTTAAACTTAAAAAAGAAGTATACTTTTTTAATATTTTTATATAGATATATTATTATTTCTAAATCTTTTTATAGTTTGGTTGGCCAAGTTTAGAATTGATCTTAAGGCAATTTATTCCTCATAAAACAAGCTATTGAAACATGTTAAATCAAATGTTGTGTTTCTATGCATTTCAGATCATTACAAAAAGGAATTTATTTGGATATTAATATTATAGTATTAATATTTTGATATTATATCTAAATAATATCAAAATATTATTAGCTATTTGCTACATAACCTAACTTTCTTTTGCTAACATGATATAAATTTCTTATTTAAAATAAAATTTTAAGATAATAAAATAGAATTTTTCAAATCCACTTAAGATAATGTTATTATTATTTATTGCTAATTCTTATATTTTTTAATTCTAGTAATATAATCTATACAAAAAAAAATCTAAAACTAACTACAACTAACTAAAATTTTAATAATCATGTTAACTTATGGTACTTAGAAGCATCATTTTGAATCTTCTTAATTGATAAAATTATAAAAAGAAGAAAAACATCAATATTTGATTATATATTTGGATTAATATTTAAAAAAAAAAAAAATTCTAAGCTCTACTTTATTAAAGAATATAAATTTATACAAAATTTCAAAGACAATATATTTATGTAGTATTAAAAAAAAGTAATAAATATATCTATATATATATATATATATATATATATATAAGATAAGAATGGAAATTATCAAATATAAAGAGTCTGGAAAAACTTGAACCAAGCCTAGAATATTAAAAAAATATTGACAATACTAAAAATGGTAATTTTTATTTTTTTATTTATTTTTTTATTTTGTCATGTATATACTAGCTACAAAGAAGGTCTTGTAGAAGCTTCTTAAGGACCATTAGACTTGCTGTGTAAGCCACAAGTTATAGTTTGCTTTTAGCTTGACATTCTAGAAGTAAGAAATTTGTGAAACAAATGACAAATCTGTAGGAATTTAAATATGTATATTCTACATTTAAGGAAATTTTCAAATTTTATTAAGGAAGAAATTATCTATCTACATACTCTATCTACTTCTACTCACTTAATTTTACCACTATTTACTTAAGTATTTTAGATATCTATTATTTATTTTTATATATTGCTTATAAAAATATGATTTTTGCCTAAATAGTTAAATTTTAGATAACAATTTTTTTTTTTTTGATAATATTTGATGTTTATTTGTGAAGGACACAAGCTAGAAGAAGATGCATAAATTCGTGGAATTTGTGTCAAAAAGAAAGTGACAAAATAGAAGAAAGTATGTATATTCAAGAAAGAACTAGAATGACTTATGTCAAAGACTAGAAAACATAAGACTCTTGAAACTAGACTAAAAAGCAAGAAAGGAGTTGATAAGAGTGAAGAGGGCCTCACTCTTGCCTCTATATATACTACTTAACTAAGAAATACGTGGCGACATACTATAGGACCTCTAATACGCATCCAACTTGCAAGACACATGTCTAATTTGCTAGGCAAGTTTCCTAAGTATGCGCCATATGTCTAACTTGTACTACAAGTGGTCAACATGTTAACACGTGGCTTCTTTGTTAGCCAAGTTTTCAACCTATCAATCACCTATAGACATATATAAAGGCAAAGCATTGTCTATGAAGCTTCTAGGAAGCTTTTCACAAGATATTATCATATTTATTTATTTTGAATTTCTTCTTTATATTCTTATTATTTAAATAATTATTGGAATAAATATGTATGTCCATAATATTATCCTCTATTCTAGGGATGAGTTCCACGAGAAGCAGTGATTACATATTGATGAAGTATTAGATGCGCCAAATTATATTTGCCATGTACTCTAATCATTGTTCCATTTGAAGGTAGTTGATAGATCCTTTCAACCATCAATAATGTCCCATACTAGGGCGAAAGGACCACCTTGATATTTGATCATTATTGAGGCCTTTATAACTTCCTTCAAATAAAATATTACTAATACCATCAATAGTGGTTTCTACCTCCAAAAGTATCATTAAATACGAGGAGTCCCTTTTAAAGTCATGGTACCAAATGTGTTGTATCTTACCATCTATTTGAAGAAAAACATGTCGTTCTTGAGGGTCTTCATCTTGATTTTACCATCTTGAAGATTGTGATAGTCGCAATGTTTCATTTGGTAGCTCAACAAATGATAGTTCTTGAGCTGAATCTGTTGGTTGTTGGTTCTCCATCTTCTAAGCACTAAAAAATCCAAAGAAACAATGATACAAGATAGAATGAAATTTCTATTGGGCTTGCTTTACTTTACAGTAAAAAATTTCTTGACTATTCATCTTAGTTTTGATAGATGTTGTTGATGAAAAGCTTTAACTTTAGCTGATACATTTTCTAGATTCTGAGATGGCTTCCATGTGGATTTATTAATATCATATCTATGCCAATGTACCAAATATTCTAACCTATTTTGGCACCGCCTTGAATCTAAAACTTCTTCCACCTCAAATTCTTTATTATTGTCTACTTCTATAGGAGATAGTGGAATTTGTTTCCTTCTTTGTATATCCATTGTCTTGTATGGTTCAAGTAAAGACATATGTAATACATGATGGATTTTCATAGACTTCGATAGGTATAATCGATAAGCAACCGGATTGATCTATTGACAAATGAAAAATTGTCTAAGCCTACAATAATCCAATTTGTCACATGGTCCAATAGTTTTAATATTATGATGAAGTAACCATATCTTATCCTCCACATAGAATTGAGGTTGTTCCTTACAATAGACATTTGCATTGACTTTTTGTCGTTCTTGAGCTTCCTTTAATTGTACCTTTATTGTTGTATGTATCTCAGACAATCAATTTGTCACATCTTCTGCTATAAAATTATCAACTTTTGAAAAATCAAAAGTGTCAAATTGAAGATGATAACTATAATTGATAAAATAAGGTGTTTGTTGACTAGA